ACATAGTCAAATGACCACAGCTGACAACCCCTTATCAGTGCCCTAGCTTATTACAGACCAATTCAGACCTTATTGGTCACCCGCGTGCCCCTTATAGATCTCAACGTTCATCCTACAAAGTCCCATCACAAGGGAGAAACACAAACAAATCGACACAAGAAAAATGCCCGTATTCAAACGGCTGTACGCCGTACGGACCTGAAAATTCAATGAAGTGCCGTCACGTGACCGCGAGCTTTCTGTCGTGCACGAATGCGCTGTCCAACCAAGTTCCTATCTGCCCACTCTGAAGGAACGTGTTTTCATCTTGATAAGATGTCGCCAGCAGGGTCCCTCTGGTGGAGCATGATGTCACACCTCTCCGGCCTGTGTTGGGGTGTCGTGATGGCGAGATGTTGTGGGCTCGACCCCGGATCCTGACGCCTGCGAGTTTGGAGTTTGCGTGTTCTCCCACGTGGTCGCGAGAATTTCTCTCCGGGTCATTCGGTTCTCCTCTCCACTTTGGGGCCGTCCATAAATGACGTCACGCACCTGGGGGATTCAGACATTTGTGACGATGTGTGACGAGGGGGGGGGGGGGTAAGAAATGTGACGTCACGTCAAAATGCGCAACTTTAAATCGCGTGACGTCATTTATGGACGGCCCCTTTAACAATCGACGTGCATTTAGGGCATTTGGCCGCTATGAATCTTCCACGTGATTAAAGCCACTTCATTGACGCTCTCATTCGTCACAGCCACCAGGTCGCCGCATCTGAAAAATTAGATGCACAACTCAAGAGCCGAATGGCCTCACAGGGCTATACCAAATGAATGAAACTGAAACTGAGTGGGCCTTACCTGATGAAAGAAAACTAGTTAATCGTTTTTAGCTTAGAGTTGGGAAACACTTGGTCACGAGACTGGAGGAATCTGATGAGATACGAAGATATTGCTTTCGTCCGCTCCATTTGGTTAGACAGCTCCCACTGCGACCGCTTGCTTGGCTGCCGTGCAAGGCCATCGACGGTTGTGCTGCACAGCGCAACCGCCCTCCGATGTTGCTTTCGAGTCGCGTCGCGTACTGTTGTTTGTTCGGCGTGATGTCCGACGTTTCGCTCCACACGGCGGGAGCTTTTTCAATCACGTGCAGCGAAATCATGCCGAACGACGCGCGGTGCAACTCAAAAGCACATCCGTATAAATTTCGATGTAAAGCTTTCGTGACTGCAGGGATTCATCTTCTTGGTTTTTTCGGTAAAGTCACGTAGAAGGGAAGTAATAAAATAATAAAAATAATAAAACATCACCTGAAGACGGCTGCTTGCGTTGTAGCCGAAACGTCGTGAGAATTATTGTATTATGTTTTATTTTTATTATTTTATTACTTCCCTTCTACGTGACTTTACCGAAAAAACCAAGAAGACACATCCGTAGTTATTATTCTTATAATGCTTGTGATGAGAATAATAACCTCACCGAATCTCAACAATATTTTTCAGCATGGTCCTGTCAAGTTTTCGCAGGAAGGGGCCGATGTTGCTGCTTTTAATCCCGAGCGAGTAATTTACAGGTACATTTTTCAGCATTGGGATGTTTGGCCACAACACCAGCGTCATTGTACGGTTTCGTTTTTATTGTCGCTATCGCAGGAAAGCAGAGAACCTGGAGGAAACCCACGCAGAGACAGGGAGCAGAACATGCAAACTCCACACAGAACGGTTGCCCGAGTCGGGACTCGAACCCCAGGCCCTTCTTGTGAGTCACATCCCCGCCCCCTCTCCCACCCCACAGACCCCCCCATAGAGCGGAGAGCTGTCAGCTCTGCTGCGTGCCCGGGACGCTCGATGCATTCTGCAGTGAGGGCAGAGTGCACGCCGAATGCACGGGAGGAACCCATTGCCTCCTGGGCGTCTGTGTCTCGACGCGGCGGGGGAGCGCCACCGCTCAGATTCTGCAAATCCACGGCTATTTTCTCACCCTGTACTTACAAACACCGCCTGTTCCATCACTTACTCGTCCGCGTAATGAATGGTGCCGACGCACGTGTGGGTGGAGCGGTGGTGCAGCGGTTAGCGCGCACCGTGCATTGAACCCCGCTTGAAAGTCGAACACGTTTCTCCGCCACCGCTCTGATGAGGCAGCAACTGTCGCCCTTCAGTGGCACCGTCCTGTCGTTTATTGCCGATGATGTTACACTTTGTTAGTCTACAAAGTGCCCGCGGGACTATTCACATTCTGTTGCAATCCACTTACCGCAAAGCAATCCCCCCCCCGCACCGTGTCGAGCTTGTCTGTATGCCTCGTTTTCCATATCAAAGGAAGAATTTATCTGCAGTTGTTCCACTTCAGGGGCCCATCTGTGCATTGTGCTGATTTCGCTTGCTTGGTGGTTTCACGTGGGTGCGGTCTAAAGTGCCGCATTGTGAATATGGCACCAGAGCCCTTGCAGAATGTCTATACAGATTCCCGAGAGAGAGAGAGAATCATTCCCGCACGTTGTCGCTCAGCGCCTCGGCGTGAACCGACGACTCGGCCTCGGTTTCTTCGGCGATGCGCGCGCCTGAACGCGACGGGAACGGACTGCGACCGAATTTACCGATCATGCAGATATCGGCCAATCGCAAAAAAAAAGTCGACGCAACACTAACCAATGGGATTACTCGATCCGTGGATCGCCCGGCAACGATTTTTACGGGGGAGGGGGGGGGGGGTGCACCGGTCGTTTGGTTAGTATGCGCGAGAAGCCACGCGGCGCCTTCATGTGAACGACGGACGAGGGTTGAGCATCGCGAAGCAAGCCGGACGGTCCGCCTTTGCCACTTCGGCTTGGGCTCGTTGTTTATCGGGGCGCTGCCCGCAAGTACTGCTCCACAGCGGTCGTTCCGGCCACGTGGCTCAGCGGTCGAAAGGTTGCGAGTTCAAATCTTGGTTGTGGGTAGACTCAGCCCATCATCCTTCCGAGGGGTTGATAAAATGGACACCGCTTGGTGAGGAATTCACCAGTGTTGTCCTTCGTGGAAGTTTCACCGAGTGGCTCAAGGCTGTAAATGGGAGGGATGAACACAGTCTCCATGCTCACTCGAGCTGGAAATCACTTCAACTTTCCCTTTTTGTTGTTGTCGCGGTCGTCAGTTACGGAAGATCCGTGCACGCGCTGAAGAAGGCCGATTGATCCCTTTATGCAATACATTGTCACATGTCTGCTATAAGTTCAGGCAAGCGTCTGCAACCTGTCTACGAAAGAGACATCATCACACCGGGTCTCTTCGACTCCAGACTGAATCCCAGGGTTACAAGGGTACACTTATTTATAGCTGTGAATTGTTGGGACATTGAAAACACACTCGGCCTTCTTCATGGTCAAAGATGAGGAACCACAGCAAGGGCTGCACAACCCCGGGCCTGAGCGGCCACTACACAATGGATAACTTGAAAAATGCAATTGTTTGACAGCTGAAAACAATGATAACTGTCTAATTGAACAAATCATTTGTTATTTTAAGGGTTCGATTTAGTGCTGGGCCAACCAATTATGTAAGCATAAGCGAATACTCTACCCATTGTCGGTTCAATTACTCGACCAATCGGATAACTCGTCATGGGCGTGGCTTGTAGGAGGTTTCCCACCTTCGGGAGGCATAGTTGGTGCCAGAGTACGGTAATTGAGGAAAAAACGAAGTATTTGTTTGCATTTTTTTCGTCGATTAGTCGACAAATTGTCCCAGCTCCAGTTTAATTATAGCTGAGTTGGAATGAAAACCAGGATCGGAGTTGTGCACCAATGAACTATAGGCTGCCAGCACTGATTACACTCGGTGTAATTTGCTGTTATGATCTTTTCCCGGGGGTGGGCGGAGGGTCAGGTGGGGGGATAGTCGAAGGCTCCGGTGAATTTACTCTTCTGGCCGGCACAACGTGTACCCGGCAAGAACCCACACCGGCCCGTGAAGCTCAACTGTGCAGGGTTTAAATTGAATTCTGTTACAAGGGCACATTTGCTCTTGTGCTTTTCTGTTCACACCACCGCACCGTTCACACTGGGGGGATGGGGGGGGATTGGGTTATGTTATCCCAGACTTTGGACAGAAGTTTGCACGACAATATATATTGGCACACATGTAAAAGGTCCACCATGCGGCGCATAGGGTTTACAGCTTGTGCCTTTTCTGTATCCATTTATATTCATCATTTAATTTGTATGCTGTATACGTGTCCACATTCATGGTTATTTGGGAATCCTTAATAACGGCGTGAAAAATTACACGAGGTATTGGCACCAACCCCAGAACAGATTTCAAACAATTTCAAACGGAATATAAAGGAGCAGTGTTGGCGTGTGTGTGTATGTTCGTGCGTGTGCGCATACATAGGGTTGGGGTGGTGGCGCAGCGGCAAGTATACTGCGCTACGAACCCGGGGCCCTCATTTCGATTCCGGACCATGGCTAACTGTGGCCTGTTACAGTAAACTCTCGCTATGCGCGAGATCTCGATTCGCGAGTTTTACTAAATGTCTACCAACTCCCTCTGATTCCAGTGTTCCCGAGTGTGCGTAGTGCCAGACCAGCAACACCGGGGGAGGTGCGTGCAGAATGTTGCTACATTTGAAATGTTCTGTGAAGATTAGGCACGCACCCTTGGCTGCACGCTTTGACCTCGAGTCTCGTAATAATCCCGCTCTGAGCTGGCTCCGGTGCATTTCTACTTTATACGTGCTTACCGTCGACTCGTTTGTACATTTTGGTAAAAACGAGTCGAATGTGAGGTCCATTAACGCGAATGCAATCGGGGAAAGTGTTGCGGCGAGCGCTCCCCAGGGTGATCAAATGATAACCACTTTGCGCTGTTATCAAACACTTACATCTCCCGAGGAGTCATCCTCCTGAAATACTCACCACCACCACCACCTACATCGTCATGAAATCATCATCAAAGGTAATAAAAAAAACACGCAATGTTGTTTTGACAATGTATTATTTATTGCAGTAATTGTCATTAAACATTTACCATTTCCCTCCCTATGTTCACTCGTAACATGAACACAACCCCATTTTTCCCATGTGAAGGTTTCTGAATTCGCGAATTCTGCATTCGTTTTCAAGAGCGTAACCCTCGCGGATAGAGAGGGCTTACTGTATATCTGCATTGGTACAGGATCTCCCCCAGGTTGACTCAGCCTTTAAATGACGACCTGGTAATCTATGTAAACATCAACACCGGGGGTACGAGGGCAGCCTGGCTTGGTGCTGACCACAGCACTTCCCCATGCTCAGTGCAGCTCCTAACCGGTGTTCGCGAACAGCCTTTGTAAGTCATACATGCTTAAATCTATGGCGTGTTTGAGTGTGAGCGTGTATGAAGGTGGAGTGCTCGCTAACAGCACTTGCCACAGCAGTCTGTGCGGCTATCGGGGGGGGGACACCTTTACCTTTGAAGGTGTGGGGATCATGGACATTGTGGTTTGGAGGCCGTCATCCAACAATGGATTGACAAAGGAGCTGAACATGTATTGTGCGTGCGTAGCGCAGCGTTCCATCGGGGGCACCGGTAGACGTTGGCGGAGCAATGACGCGGCAACCATCAATGTTCACCGGCAGGATCCCGTCGGAAGCCACGGCGACGTGAGATCAGTAGACGTAGGGAACGATACGGTACTTGACTCTGCGGCAGTACTCCAGCCAGGCGGGGCCGTACTTGCGCCGGCAGTCCTCCTCGTCCACCGCGTCGCGCTCCACCAATATGGTGATGCAGAACAACAGGTACACGTAGGGTGCCAGGTGGCTCACACCTACGGGGGTATGGTGGGTGGGGTGGGGGGGAGAGATTTCAGTACCTGTACATAACTTGGCAAAACATTCTCAGTTTGAAACGGTTAAGCAGTTTGACCCAATTGCTGCCACGTGGGAACAGTGGTTGTAACATTGTTTTTATAGCTTTATTTTGGTGATGTCGAAAACGTATGGTTAAGCCATGTTTGTTTGTTGAAGTAGCCTGATAACTTTATCTAAATTGTCTTATGGTTGCTATTTTTCGACTTGCATCCCACTGGGATTTTTGCGCACAGTGTTGATATACGGTGCTTTTTTCTGGAAGATTTTGCTGGTTTTTACTGGACGTTTCTGTTGCGCGTCGTCACTTTAAAATGTTCTTTGTTCATGTTTTTGTTTGTTGCGGTTGCACCCGAGTCAAGAGCCTCATGGCTCACAGGGCTATACCTAATAAATTAAACTGAAACTAAAACTGAAACTGAAACGCAACTGGACATGGAACTACAGGGGTCGTCGGTTCGATCCAATCTCCCTGGCTGGCGGCAGGTGAGACAATACGGTCAAGTTTCCTAAAATCACAACCCTACCGCCTCTATTCCACCCAACAGTACTCAGTACTGTCTTTATGAGTACAGTACACCACAGTAATTTGATTCGAAAGGTCGTATGTGGTGGGGTAAAGTGTGGGTACTGCCACTGAGTGGAAGAGTTAGGCGAATAGCCTCTGAGTTAGGCGAATAGCCTCTGAGTTAGGCGAATAGCCTCTGAGTTAGGCGAATAGCCTCTGAGTTAGGCGAATAGCCTCTGAGTTAGGCGAATAACCTCCGAAATGGGCCCTGAAATAACCAATTGGGATAGTGCGTATACAGTACGTGTGTGTGGGGATCGGTAGCACAGTGGTTAGCGCACGACTCTATGAAGCCGACGACCCGAATTCAATTCCTGCCCACGGCCAACATCAGTGACGCAACATCTGAACCGGTGCTGCGTCCTCCACGTGGTCGACTCAACCTGAAGTGAGTACCTGGTGCGGTGTGTCAAACATCGCCACTGGGGAGACAAAGGCGGCCGGGCGTGGTGCTGGCCACCCACCCCCCCTCGTGTGCCGTGCCGGCCTTCAAAGGTCCTCGCTAACAGCACTTGCCCAAAAAAGTCTGCTAAGGCTATCTGGGGGATCTTTGTCTTTGTGCTGTTGGCACAGCGTGAAGCAACGGCTCTCCAGAGCTTGCCTTTTCTGCCAGCAGTGACGTGAGCAGGCAATTGCAGGGCTGCACCTTTTCCACCTTTACCTTACAACATGCTGATTATTTTAACAGGTAATGAGAACGATGTAATTATTTATTGTCTTCAAAATTGTTATCCAGAGAAAGGGTTTGCAAATCGGCAACCTGCCACTTAAACTGGGGATGTTTAGTGCTTGTGATAATTGAATCCCCTGAGAAATCAAATAAACAGCGCAGGATCTATTTTTGCTATGTACAAAATAACATAACATTTTGTTCCATCAGCTAATAGGCCATTCTGAGCAGATTAACAACAAATTGCAGCCCCATCCTGTGTCAAATATGGGGAGTTTGTTTGGGCTTACTTCACCACACTGGTCACGGTGGGTTAGTGGAAGTGCCTCGTGGTGCATACCAGAACTATTTCAGATTTCACCCACCACTCATGTTGTTCCAGGAATTGAACTCGGGCCACCGGATTAATCGTGTATTGCGCTAATGTGCTCCACCAGTTAATGATTTTATCGAGGGTGCTAATATATATACACGCACATATGTCTAAATATTCACATGTATAAATTGTGACCAGTTGTGGATTATGAATTGTTTAGAAATGTAGGAGAGTTTGGGAAAATCGGTGACCTGTGTTTTGATGCGGTAACAGTAATACAATATCAACGTAGCGGTTTGTGCCTGGGTTATAGGTAATGGTATATATATATATTTACCATGCTCATCGTTAAAACAAATAAACTGTTCAAGACTGTGAATCTGTTGAACTGATAACGCAAGTTTTTTTTCATTACTTAATTCCATTGTTTTGAAAGTGGGGGGGAGGAGGGAATTTAATCAGATGATGATTTGTGTGTAGTCACAAACAATTAAATCAAATACATTCGGCACGAGTGAACGTTGCCCCATGTCGTGTTTAGCTGTGGCGTCCAATTACGCAATAATATAATATCATTCGACGTTTATTTTGCGTGCTTTTTGCAGCAACAACTTGGATAAGCTGCAACTGGACAACTGGCTACTTACGATTTACAATTTCCAAAGTATACAGTGGAAACTGTGGACAGGAAAACCTAAGGCAAATTAAAATCCACTGCAAAACACACTCACGCCTGTGATCCGGCACTGTGGTGGCAGTAGCAAGAGTTGGTGGATCACGCACAGATGTCGTGAAACACCCTCACCAATTCTGGCGAATTGCCTGATGAAGCTGGTTGTAATCACCAGCGAAACGTCGTAATCAAATTGCAAATGTTGTGGGTTTACTTTCCAGCACAGCAGTGTGCTGGAGTAGTAACTAACTGGCACGTTTTGTTGACGCGAGATACCTTACGTATTGTCTGTGTCGGGTGGTGGCGGGTTCACAAAGTATTTATATTTAAGCTCTCTAACCAAAAAAACCTTCATTGTAAACACCCCTCCTGTGGGCGTGGAGGAGGAACTGTAACCCTGGCTTATTAGAAAAGGCAGTAGAGCAAATATTGGACTTCAACTGTTCCATGTGTATGGGATAGTTTTGCTCCCTCGCACACGTGACTTTCCTCCGGGTGTTCCGATTTCCTCCCAAAACTAACCACTTATTAATTTGCCGATAACACCTTCATATATAGAGGACTGCAGAGCTTGAGAGGGAATTCGGCGTCGGTTCAATGCGTCGCTGCTCTTCCTGCTCGTTTGAGATTCCTCTTCGCACCTCTGAGTAATTTTTTCCTCTCTACGAGAGAGAGCGAATAGTATGTGATGTGTTACAAATTGAAATGATTATGTTATTATTATTAATAGCAAAAATAAATGTTTTTCCAATAAATATTCTTAATTCTAACTTTATTTTTGATTATATTACACTTGTGCTACCAGCGTCAAGCCATGAGATAATAAATATCCGCTTTGGCGGCCCATGACCCGCTGGCAGGACTGTGTCGCTCGGCTGGCCTGGGAACGGCAGGGAATTCCCCAGGAAGAGCTCGAGTCTGTCGCCAGAGAAAGAGACGTCTGGACCGCCCTACTCAACACGCTGCCGCCGCGACCCTCGCCGGGACAAGCGGGTTGAGAAACGAACTTTGGGGGATTTCTCTTCTGTGATATCCACTTCTGCGGGCTGTTCTCCAAGATGGAAGGTTACTAAACTAAGCTATTTTTTGTTTTACAAGATAAGGCCTACTGAGCTGTATAGCTCTTTTTCAGAAGTGACCTGGTGACAAATGGTAGCTTATGTGGACATTTATAGGAGCCAAATACTGAAAACGCATGTTTCTAAATGTGGAGGGAAAAACTGGAGGACACGGACAAAAATCCACGCGGCCATGGGGTGAATATGCAAAAGAATCCAGAACCTCCTGTATACCAGGCGAGGTAGTTAACATCTCACCATCGTGGCGCCCCAAGCTAAAATGATAAATTATGAAAATTCATTGCCACTACCATAATTGGGAAAAAAATGATAGAAAAATCACGATAATATTTATTTTGAAAACACAAAGTAGAAAATACGAGTTTTACGTAAGGTTGCGCACCGCAGGGAAGGGCCCACGCCACCGCCATGATGATGTCTCCCAGGTAGTTGGGGTGCCGGAGCCAGCCCCACCAGCCCGATACCAAGAGGCTCTTCCCGTGCGCCGTCGAGATCTTCTGCAGGTCTGCGTCGACAGGGTGCGGAAGAGGCACTCGGAAAATGCGAACTTCACTCGTTCTTTTGAATTCATAGCAGAAAAGTACAACTCTGAAACCACAGGTTCTTACGTGGCGAGATGTTAACTACCTCACCTTGGAATACAGGAGGTCGTAGTTTTGATCTTAACCCTAACGCTTGTATATTTTTAGTTTGCATGTCTCTCTCTCTCCCCATGGGTTTTCTCTCCACGTTTAGAATCTACATGCATTTTGAGTATTTGGCTGCTGCTATAAATTGCCACATGATTATAAGCGACCACTTAGTTGAGCTATCATTTGTGGCCAGGTCACTTCTGAAAAAGAGCTATATAGCTCAGTGGGCCTTACCTAGTAACATTAAAATAGCTATTTTTCGTTTTAGTTATTGAGGCCAGCGACGTTTGTTCGGCTGCAGACAACAATGTGGCAAAAGTCATTTCTATACTGTACTGTACTTCTATGCTTCCACCTCAATGCCCCTGCCTCCCCGCGCCCGGCCCTCATTAACTCGCACTGAACTAGTATGGCGAAGTATTGGTCCAATAAACTCCAGCACCCGTACGGTATGGGGAGGCCGTTATCCACCAGCAGATTGACAAAAAGGACACCACACACATGTAAACGTTTGCCCCCCCCCCCCCACCCCCCAAACTCGCTCCCCCAATCCCTGGACATCTACGACTGGACATATGTGAAAAAGAGCTTCATAGTTCATCGGATTCCTCCAGTATAAATACATATCCTGATTCTAAAATATTACAAATCCTGCACCTCCAATTAGCATAGCTGGCTACGTGCGGTGCGAAAGAAGTTCAACATACGTACATACAATGCATGGTCTCAGCAGTGTAACTCTGTGAGCGCACATCGGCGTGTGCTGGCTATGTCGTTGCGCTGTGCACTTTTTAGCGGGATCTGTACTCACGCGCATAGTCGGGGTGGTTTGGGTTTTTCCGGAAGCCATTCTTTTCAGCGTTGGAGCTTCTGTAGATCCAGAATCCAATGACTAAGAGGGAAAAAAAGACGCGTTTTAAATGACTGTTCTGTTGAGCATCTTTGTCTGAACTCGCGCAGAAATTAGATTCGTAAATTAAATCCTTGGTTGACTGCTGAACTTCTTTCGCATTGAACGTATCCAATCGTGCCAATCGGAGGGGCAGGGGAAGGACAAGAAACTGAACACAAAATAGCAATTCTAGAGAAATTTCTTTTCAATCTCGATTTCAAACAAGTTCAAATCCCGGTTGGGGGGTTGATTCAGTCCATCATCCGTCTGACGGTTGTTAAAATGGGTAGCACTCTATGGAGTAGTCATCAGTAGTGGTCCTATAGACAAGCTCACTCCCACCATGGGAACGATTAATTTTCCACCACTGGTTCAGAGCTGTAAACTGAAAATTGAGCACTGCTTATTGAGCAGGACATCACTTTGATTTAAATTTAACCTCTTGTACGACACGTTTTAAGCACCCACACGAACTCAAATTCTGGGTGGAAGTCGAGAGAGGGTAAACCATTTTATTTTTTCAGCACCTCGATTTTGTGATTTTGTAAGACACACGCGCACGTACAGAAGAGGGCTGCGATAGCAGCTGCCCCTGGCCAGGACAGTGGCTGTGGATGTCTGAGCAGGAAGTAGGCCTGGATGATGTAGACGAAGGGCACCCATGTCAGCTCCCCACACACCACCGCGTAGCCCAGCCCCGTCGAGATGCTCTCACGCGTCGTGAGGTCAAAATCCTGTGGGCGAAAACCAAACGATCACGCAAGCGGTTGCCTTTTGTTTGGCAACAATTAATAGACGCGCGTGTCTTTGTCCTGCTCGCGTGTGTGCGTGTGCGTGTGTGCAGTCAGCCCGTCAGCCCATTAGCATGGCTTGATGCGTCGGCTGTTTCTCAGAGTGCAAGCTGATGTTTCGCTCAGTGGGGTGAAACAAGTGAAGTATTGCTTAATCAGCAGCTGGATCATTCTGCCATACAGCTACAACTTTTTCAGGGGAGGCTCAACCGGAACACATAATGAGCTGGCAGCCCAACGCACTTTTACTTTCTGACGTGGTCACAGGTAACGCAGGACAGCCAGTCTGGGCGATCAACTGGTGATGAGGTCTGGCCTCGTCATTACCTCCTCGAGCACAAGGTCAGCCGCGTAGGTGACGTGGAAGATCGTGATGAGGATGAGAGGCAATGGAAGGTATCCATACGTCTTGAATGCCCAGGCCAGCATGCAGGCGTGGATAGGTCCCTGTATCACACACGTGTCAACGACACAGCACAGGTGTCAGTGCTCGTCCATGTACAACAGAAGCAACAACAACAACAACGGCAGCAACAGCGACGGCAATGGTCGTTTAAAAGTAGAATGACGAAGAGGTGGCCGAGTGGTTCGGTGGTCAGAGCGCTGAGCTGGCACCGCTGAGATCTTGGATGTTAATTCAGGCAACTGCCTGTGATTAAACCGGGTTGTCAAGTGCAGCGAGTTGATGGTTTTAGAATCGTCACCAATGACTGTGCAACAACAAAAAACCGCTCACATTTTTTCTCTGCACTTCATTTGGCAAAGTGTTGGCTCTGAGAATTACGAACATCAGTTTGACTGTCGCGCGATGAGCCATTATTCTCAGTGGTGGAGCGGGTGTATGTATGTTGAAGTTCTTATGCATCGTACAAAGCCAACTGCGCTAATCGGAGGTGCGGGGAAAGTGCTGCCCCCTCCTGCGTGGACCAGAGGCCACTTAAAAGATCTCAGTGGCAGTTCCGCAATATCCACTTTCGTGGACGGTTATTTACCAACAAGGGTCGCATTACTGTGCAAGATATTTAAATGGAAAAACGTCACCCGTGATAACGCCGTTAGCACAACCAGGATAAAACGTGGGAATAAAAAAAAATAAGAAATTTAATTGCATGGGCATGCAGCATTGGTGTAAAACAATAGTCACTAATTAGCATCTTATGGAGAACAAGAATATACGGGCATGCATGCTGGATGCACAGTCGGTGTCTTGAGGAATGGCGATGATATTCTGTAGGCACCTTGCCCAGTAATGAATTTGCCATGTGCTGGCGGTGGCCGTTGCGTTAATAGGAAATGACGGGTCCGTTGATAATTTATGAAGGGCGGCTGCCAAGTGCGCTTCCAATGTTGCTGGGGTCAAACATTTGCAAGGAGAGAAATGTTCGACCTCTACGTGTTTACACTACAACTGAAGGGAAAGCTCGCAGTGCATGAGATACAGGTCTGCGAATTAATGAAAAGCAGCGATAGCATCGGCAGCGATAAGCCCTTCGCTACAGGGATTAAAACTTAGTGCAGCACCAAGTATAAATATCTGAAACTAATGCAAAGTGACGACCGCAGCAGATGAATACTTTGACGCTTGTATGATGTAAAGACAACAGGGTTTTAATTTCCTTTATAACTATTTGCAGCAGTTGCGTGAGCAAGCAATTGCAGGGCTGCACATTTACCCCGTTTAATTTCAAGGTTACAAGTTGATGTAACGTGTGTTTTTGTTGATGTGTCCTCAGGGAGCGGTGCAGTTTGGAATCGTTCAACAATTATCGCAAGTGTACACACGCCGGGTTCCTGGCAATACCACGGGGTTAACACAAGCACGGTGATGAAGTCCCTTCTCCGAGAGTCGAAATTTTAATGAACATTTTATCAGAGGCAAGGATATTGGGAAATGTGGTGGTGGAGATATCGAGTGCGTGCGGGCAGTTAAACTGCACCGGGTTCCACACGCCAGAGGGACTCGAGGTACAAAAATAAACTGGGACGTCATGGGAATGTAAATAAGAATACCTCACGATATAGGGAGAGGGTGGCGCTACATGTATGGAATTGCCACGGTGGCTAGATGTGAAATACCGCCCTTAGTATGCAGGATGTCGTGGGTTCGATCCCGACCCTGACGCCTGTATATTTGGGGTTTGCATGTTCTCCCGGTGGTCGCGTGGATTTTTTTTCTCCGGATTTTCCCTCCACATTCAGAAACCTGCGTTTCGAGCAATGGCGGAGCCAGTGGGGGGTGGGGGGGGGGGTGGGGGGGTGGGGGGGGTGGGGGGGGTGGGGGGGTGGGGTGGGGGGGGTGGGATGGGTGGGGGGGGGGTGGGGGGGGGGTGGGGGGGAGTGGGGGGTGGGGGGGTGGCACGTTTCCCCCCAAATGATCCGATCGAAGTCCCTTATTTTATCGGATTATTAGGGTTTATTAGTAATAAATCGGCATTTTGCGACCCCCACTGCCACTGTGTAGCATATTATTAGGTGTCAGGGACTCTATGAAATGAGAGGACAATAGTCTGAGTCCATAATTGGCAATAAGTAACGGCAAATCAACTTTAAGCGACTCAAAATTTATGCGCAGTTGCGTATACAGTACACGACTTCCCTGAAGGCATTCACCTTCAGCGAGCGCGATGCCGATCACACACGCGTCGAATAAAAGGGGCAAGTCCTTACTTACTAACAACTCCTCTATCGTTTTTCATTGCTGGAGGGGTTGCCTCCTCTACCTGAACATCCAGGTTCCGCCATTGGTTTCGAGTATTTAGCTGGAATAAATTTCAACATGATAAGCCACTTCAATGAGCTATCATTTGTGGCCAGATCGATTCTTCAAAAGAGCTACATAGTTCAGCGGGCCTTACCTGGTAAAATAAGAATAGTAAAATTTTTTTTTAAATAATGCCACTGACAATAACGAGGGAAACGTTACGTAATTTTCTATGACCGCTACTCGAACGAGAAGAGGATCCTGGGAAAATCGGAACAGGTGGTAACCATAGCCCAGGTAACTTGGCTTTATAACATTGGGGGTTTGGGAAGCAGGGTGACCCTTTGCATTCCCTGCACGAGGGCCCATGCCAACTCCGCTACACCACCGAGGAAGAGAGTCCCCTGTGCACGGTCGTGAAACTGCCGGTGGTGTTGCGCAATCCCTTCAGGTGCTCATCTATGTTTAAGGGGACACTGGTCAACACACTTTTTCTGGCATAAGGTATTCCAACGGATTTAATGTAATTTTGGGGTGCTGATTCCAAATCTGGCATCAGTTTTTGTCTATCACATCAGGTTGTTGAGATATGAAATATTGCATTTTCAATAAAAACTTCAGAAGAAAAATATTAAATAAATGTGGATATCTAAATAAAATTATATTATAAACACACTAGTCTAAAAATACAGCACCATATTTTAACACTAAAGCAGTCACTGACTCGCAACAACTTGAGCTAATTTCGGGTAAATTCAATGAAAATGAGATGTGATAGAGCAAATCTGAGATCAGATTTGGAATCAGCACCCTGAAATTAGTCTAAAACAGCTGCAAAAGTCCAGGCCAGAAAAAAATGTTTTTTTTTTGTTGACCAGTGATATCATTCTGAGTTCTCGTTGTTGGCATCTTGCTGGACTAGCGTGCATATCTGTGGCCAGGTCGCTTCTGAAAAAGAAGTTAATAGCTCAGTTGGCTTTACCTCTTAAGAATAAAAAAGAGTTTAGTTTTATTGAAATATATTTATTTTTAAAGTGATGTTTTTACCTTTCCGAGACTTTGCACTCCAATAGTGTTTTTGCATTGTTTGTTGTTCTAACATTCTGACCTGCCACTACTGGACATCTATGACAAAGAGCTTCATAGCTCATCGGATTCTTCAAATACAAATAAATATGCTGATTCTGAATTTCGCCTACACTTATTTTTGCTGGGAGGTGGTGGGGGGGGGGGGGTGTGCGGGGTGGGGGAGCTGTGTGAGTCGTGTGATGAGTGATAACGGGGCAAGGTAGGATATTTCAATTGCGAGTGGCAGCTGATGGTGGCATGTTTCAAATTTGGGAGAGGCCTCCGCCCAATGGGATGGTTGCTGCTGCTCCCCTCGCCACACGGCTGCCTCTGCTTGAACGGGAATGTGAAAACCTGACGGGTGGGAAGGATGCACTACATTGGTTCTTTTTTTTCTCCTCTGTTGTGCACTTTTGAGATACTGTAATAATGGCAATAATTTTAACGAGTAACGGGCCGAATATTCTTCACTCACTCTCGAAGATGGAGAACAACTCGGAGGAGGAACCATAGACACATGGGAAGGCAGCCATGCGATAAGCTGGCACCGAATCTCTCCCCCCAGCCCCCCTCCTCACCAAGTGGTGTTATCACCAAATGAAATGTGTTATCACTTAATTAAAGAGTGTTTAAATGTTGGAGGAAACTGGAGCACCCGGAGGAAATCAAGACATGTGAGGGGGCCACACTCTATTCCCATGCAAGTGAGACAGGTGAAGTCCACACTTGCTCTACCGCATTCTCCTGGCGAGCCAGGGTACGGCTCTTCCTCGATACCCACGGTAATAGAGTTTCGCAACATTTTGACGATCCGCCAACCCTCATCTCCACGGTGCCGGATGTACAGGCGTGAAAAGTCAACTCCGCACGGCTGTCTTATTTTAAGTGGTATGTGCATGCAAACTCAAAACTTCATAATTATTTTAAGCGATTCGGCCGAAAGTGAAATTCTTCCCAGACATTCCGCACTTCGGAAAAGCAGACTCATAATTTCCAATTCACATATGTGATGATATGAACGATTTACTGTCCCCTTGTCAATCCACTGAGGGGCAAAGGCATCCCCACGCCGTACTGGTGATGGGGTTGTTTGACCCGACTTCGCCATGCTGGTCAGTGCCTAGAATTGGTTCGGACATCACGTGCCACTGATGTTAGCCGTTACAGGGAATCAAACTTGGGTCACTCGGATCATAGTGCAGTGCGCTAACCACTGTTGTCACTGCTCCTCTCCTAAATGACTTAAAATTGTACTTAACAATTATTCAAGCGATTAAAACCCCCTTTTCTAAATTCTTTGTAGCTACTGCCCCCTAGTGATTAAATACCATAATTTATTTTGAATGTTGATGTTATGTCTCCTTACACTTTTTAGTGTTTTCCTCCACTTCATCTCGATTGGGCAATCAGTGTTGTGTCGTGACATTAAGAATCCATTTGGATCCCTCGCAGAGCAGCGTGACCCTTTGTGCTCGAGAATGGCCCACGGAAGCGGATGTCGTAGAACTACCTCTGAGACCTCTTCACGCGAACGACTTCTGATCCACACAAGTTGGAGGCAGGACTTTCTCACCCGCCCGGCCACTGAGAATAATGTTCATTGTGTGGATAGTAAAACTGCCATATTGATATTCTCAGAGCTACAGTTTAAGCAAATTAAGTACGCAACCAGATTCAATGAGATGAGTTTTTTTTTTTTGCGTGCGTTGTAATTGATGCCCGGGTGGAGGTCATCAACTCTCTGCGTTTGAGAACCCATTTGAATCACATGCCGGTGATTACCCAGTTTTATTTTGTATCCAGGATCTCAGCCGTGTCAGCTTCGCGCTCTGACCTCGAAGCTCTGAGCCACCGACAACGATCAACATTGAAAACCCTGGTGACGTGTTGTTACGACTCACCCAGCTGAGAAAGCCAACGCGCATCATGAAGACAAACTTGAGATCCAGATCTCCGATCTTGGGGTTCAGCTCGCGGCCCATGTAGTAATCGCTGATCACCCGCCCTGCCTCGGCGACAACACAAGCAAACGGGAATGTTTCTTGAAGCGGAAGAACAAAGTAGAATTTCCTCGTTGGCCTCCTCTTTACCACCGCTGATCGGCCTCGCTGCACGCTGCACACTGTTGTGCTGCGCTAAATAAGCCCTCTCCCCCACATGCATTCACTGAACACGTAACATTAATACAGTCGCAATAATAATTAACATTTGTAAAGCGCATTTCATTCATAGATCCCAAGTCGCTAAAATAAGATTTTGCACAATGTGCCGCCCTTTCGTCTATCCACTGCTGGGGTTTTATTTATTTGGTTTTGGTTGAGGGTCCCTCCACACCACCTCGCGAGTTATGAGTTTTAGATTTATTTATTGCGGCGGGAAGAGCCGGAGGAGCTGCTAGGGCTCTATTTCATGAGCGTCCTGCGATGGTAGAGACTTTATACAGGACAGGCCTGAGTTACAATCACGGTACAGACGATATACAGGACAGGAATTCGTGACACAAGCACGGTTACATAGGTCGCGAGTATCAATACGTGCTTCACATGTTACAGGAATAGAGAACTCGCTGAAAATGTAAACGAAAAACACATGACTGCATTGTTTTACGAACAAAAAGAAGAGAAGGGAAAAATATAATTTAACAAAGCGAACACGATCAGTAACAGGGAATTTTGTTTGTGGTATGTTGAACTTATTTTGCACTGTATGTAGCCAACCCTGCTAATCGGAGGTGCTCTCCACAGAGACTCGGACTCGCGATTCTCAGCAGATTATATATTAGAGCCACGTCTATGAAGGGACTTGAGTTTCAGGAGTGAGCGGAAGTTTCTCGCGGTCGGCAACGATTTAATTCCCAAATTTAACGTGATGAGAGCAATTCCACAATGGGGGAGCAGCCACCGAGGTTTTTAAGATGACGTAGGATCCCTTCGAAGGCTTCGTTTACTTTCTCTTGCGGTCAACAGATCCATCAGGTACTTCGTGGATGTATTCGACCCATACTTCACCACGTTGGCCAATGCGCTTTGTTGAAGGCCAGCGAGCATAGACGTACAGTACAACAATGGATTTTGCTGCACTGTGCCCTCTGCTGCCAACCACGTCACTCTGTAGCAGCCTATAGCAACCTGTCATGCATGGTGGTTGCCCATCCAAGCACTATCTACGCTCAACAATAAGCACAATATGGCGGTCATTAAAAGTACCAATTAGTGACTAAGCGTGGTTGTGTACGACTATTCTTGCTGCTGAGCAACATCTTGTTGTTACTGGCTCCTGCACTCACACGCAAACAATAGCTGTCCTCTGAAAAGACACCATCACAACGTGGAGTTTTGACCACTGGCACAAGGCTGCAAACAGGAAATTCGGCTCTGTGGTCATCTGGGCAGGAAACCACCTTGACTCTGACTTTTTGACTCTTTCCAACTTTAGCTTTGTCCGTCCATCGATGACTTGAGGGCCACGATAATTCCCGCAAGCATGAACCAATTCGTGGCGCCCACGGTGGCGAGATATTAACTACCTCGCCTGGTATACAGGAGGTCGTGGGTTTCATCCCAACTCGAGAAGCCTATATATTTGAGTGTGCATGTTGTTATCCCCGTGGTCGCTCGGATTCTTCTCCGGATCCTCCGGTTTTTTTCTGTATCCTCCGGTTTTTCTCTCCACATTTAGAAACTTGCGTTTAGAGAATGTGGATGCTATAAATGTCCACGTAATAAGCCACTTCGTTGAGCTATCATTTGTGGCAATGTAACTTCTGAATAAGCTACAAAGCCTTACGTGGCAATTTTTTTTGTTTAATTCAGACTTACCATATTGAAAACTGGCCCCATTGATGAATGCATTGCCCAAACCTTGCAAACATAAATCAGCACAAATAGAACTGCAAAATATGAAAACGCGTTTTACACCTACCCATCAGCTTCCAGACTGCTAACTAATTTCTGTACTTCTGCAGACAAGAGCATTTTGGGACAAGAATTTGGTCATGCAGCTGTTGCTGCTGCGGTGGCAGTGGTGCACAAAGCACAATTAATAAAAACACTCAGTACGTTCGTCAATAGCACTGTGGCTTTTAAAAGGGAAAAAATGTAACAGACCCTTTTTCACAGTACATCAATATGTGCGATGGCAAAGGGTCATTCCCCAAAACGTCAACCAATTATATTATTTCCTGTTAAGGCAGTGAAGCCGCCAAATGTGTTTAGCTCGTTGCATGTTCTATAGTGTTACAGAATCCATGTTTTTTCCCAACTTGTTGAATAAAATATGGAGGTGTAGGTTGGCAGAAGGTGCCGCCTTACCCGTGTTTCCCTCCGGCACCAGTTCCATGATTTCCTAACTTGTTAAAGAAAATATGGAGGTGTAGGTTGGCAGAAGGTGTCGCCTTACTCGTGTTTCTCTCCGGCACCAGTTCCGTGATTTCCTAACTTGTTGAATAAAATATGGAGGTGTAGGTTGGCAGAAGGTGCCGCCTTACCCGTGTTTCCCTCCGGCACCAGTTCCGTGATTTCCTAACTTGTTGAATAAAATATGGAGGTGTAGGTTGGCAGAAGGTGTCGCCTTACCCGTGTTTCCCTCCGGCACCAGTTCCGTGATTGGCGCCGAGAACGACTTGATGTAGAGCAGGAGGCTGACGATGACACCCAAGAGGATGGCGGACACGAGCAGCTGGAGGTAGCGCTCCGCGACGATGGTGAGATCGAGCCCTGCACCGTAGGCCAGGGCGACCAGCCCCATGGAGGCGAGGTAGGCCTGTACACCTGCAGCGCGGGCATAGTGGGACGTGTTGCCAGCTTAGTTGGTTTTGACACTAGGCCAGGGGTCGAGAAAACCTTCGGCTCCGAAGCCGCATGCAGCTCTTTAAGAACTGCTTCATGACGTTATTTGTTCAGCACCACCGTCTCCTATCCACGGACATTGCGGCTCTTGAAATCTTGATTTGTTTAGCGAATTCGAAAAAAAATGGCTCTTATTATTATTTTGGTTGCTGGCCCCTGCACTACTGTAAGTCGTCTTCTTATTCTTCAAAGTCAGGTGTCTCATCATGGCATGGAATCAGCTGCTCAGATTTTCTCTCTCCTTGAGCTTCTAATTCTCTGCACCTGGTTTAGTCACATCCACGGTTCTTACATGGAGATCGATAGACTTACATTGAGACCCATACACTTGCATAGACTTACATTAAGTTCCATAGCTTCATGTACAGACCCATAGACTTGTACCGAAGCCAGAAGTTCAATTGTTGCTCGGGTATTCTCTCTCCATGAGCTTCTATTCTGTGCCACGTATGTAAGTACGTTGAACTTCTTTTGCACCGTAAGTAGCAAACCATGCTCATCAGAGGTATGTGTGAAGGACAACAAACTAAACACAAAAAGCAGATCTCAAGAAATTAGTTTTCAATCTAAATTTAAAAGAGCATATAGCTCCAGTGGCTTCCTAATATCCAAAGAGCATTCCAGGCAGCAACAAAAGTCATATCGACTGCCCTTGTATCTCGTTCCACCGCATCCTCCATCTCACCCTTGGTCTCCCTTTCCTCCCCCTGCCCTTCTAATTGAATCTTGTTTGGTGGATGTTCTACATTAAGCAGTTGGAACAATGAACAGAGTGGGTGGTTGTGGCTTTCCATTGCGATGGAAAACGTCGCGAGCGTTAATTGCAAATAAAAACCGCATGGAGGAAAAGTCTACAATGAGGAATACTGTAAAACGGTTGTCCAGCAGCAGAAAAAAGCGGTCGGAAAAATAACAGCAAATGTTACCCAAGTGGCATTTTTAGTTTTACTGTTGTAGTGCCAGCCGATCAATACGGCACAAACGCGGAGCAGATTTACTTTGTTAATAAATACCGTTCAGGTTGTACTTCAATCGTTTCCCACTTTTCAATGGTGTTCCTTCTGCCACCTGAATGAAATATAACACAGCACATGGTAAAATACAGCATTGTCACATTTATTGCCAAAATGAAATAAAGCATTGTTGGGGCCACAGCAGATGCACGGCCAGTGAGTCGGTGGGGGGTGGGAGGGAGCAAAGGGCCTTTGCCCTCCCTCCGATTTTTTCATACGGCCTTTTTGGAGATTATTTATGAATGTTAAAGAAATCATCGATAATTATGCTATCATCAAAGGTGCGATAGAGTGATGAAATCGTCCCATGTGCAGGTACCATGTGGATTGTTGCATCGCGGGAGGTGGCGGTAGCTTAGAGGCCTTCATCCAGCAGTGGATTGACCATGGCTGAGGATGATCATTTAATTATAGATACATTTTACAGCATATAATGGAATCTTAACTTACATGCAATCAACATTATTTCACCAAATTAGTTACTTTAACAGACAACGGACACAATTTACTCCTTTCCGAAGTTTGTATTTGGGTGCACCATGTGCTGGTGGTGAGAGTGGGGCCAAACAATCCAACTTAGGACCAAATAGCTTGGGCAAATGTTGGCGCTCGTTGAATTCCCCACTGAATCGATTCCGGCGCCTGTATATTTAGAGTTTGCATGGCCTCTCCGTGTTCACGTGCATTTTTCTCCGGTTTCCTCCGGGTTTTCCCTTCACATCTAGAATAAACACGCAGTTTAGAGTATTTGTCTCCTGAAATGTTCACGTGATAAGCCCACCTCGTTGAGCTATCGTTCGTGGGCCAGGTCGCTTCTGCAAAAGAGCTACATATAGCTCAGTGGGCCTTACGTGGTAAAAATTCAATTAGTTTAGAGTTTAGTTTGTGAAAAACGAGTGGAGCTCAGCACCGTGCCCATGGGCAGCGAGTAGAGGGCGCACTGCAGGAGACACCAGCCGAGGACGACGAGGAACGCGGTTCCGTCCCAGAGCTCGAGAGGCGAGCAGGGGAGCCGCGGCACTTGCAGGAGGCCCCCGTCCGGCGAGTCGCATGCCAGCACGAGCAACAGCGGCACGAGCGGCAGCATCACGATGCGGATGATCGTCTCTGCGCGGGGGAGGGGGAGTTAAATGGACTTGCGTTGGACGCGCGCGCCGACGATGATTTTCGTCACTTTTTATCATTATTATTACAAGCTTTTATTTAACTCACTCTGTTGTATCCTCAAATCGTGTAACTCAATGTTAATCCACTTCCCAATGCGGCATCGACTGCAAACTTTGTATACTTATGTCATACTGATGACAATACTAAATTCTATCCTAAAAATAAAATAAAACATATGTTAAAACATTATTTTTTATGTTATTGTTTCAGCTTGGCTCTAATTGTCCACGCTAAACAGACGTTGGCTGTAAATGACCACGCTCTCTTACGTTGTGGCAAGCTTCGGGGCCACTTCCTGGAGTCGTGGAGTTCTGCCATTAATTCTAGATTTTAAGCTTTCATGACTGCAAGGATTCATATTCTTAGGTTTTTTCGGTAAAGTCACGTAGGTAAAAAAATTAAATTAATAAAAGTAAAATAAAAATAAAATAAAAATCACAACGTTTCGGAGGCAACACAAGCTTCCACCTGAAGACGGAAGCTTGTGTTTCCTCCGAAAAGTCGTGATTTTTATTTTATTTTTATTTAACTTTAATTAATTTTAATTTTTTACCTACGTGACTTTACCGAAAAAACCTAAGAATATGTTCTGCCATTACTTGTACGGTACATTTCATTAAGGCGTGTTTAAAACAAAAAGTATTTTTTATATTACTTATAGAGTATTTGGCTGCTGTCCACTTCCACGTGACGAACCATCTTCATCGAGCTATCATTTGTGGCCTGGTCGCTTTTGAAAAAGGTGCAATATAGCTCAGTGGGCGTTACCTGGTGTAAATTAAAATCGTTTAGTTTGAACGAAAAATAGTTTTACATGTTAATTGCTTGTCGTCCAGGGGCAGTCGTCGGTTCGATATCGGTATCCACGAGGCCCTCCACCTGCAATCCACTGCTGGATGAGGGCCTCCTCGCGTCGTGCGGGTCGTGAGGGTTATTTGGACCGTACAGAAAATTGGATCATTTTGTACAAATGTCTGATCGGAAATGAGCACATTATATTGCATAACTGAGACGGCTGCTGGCAGAAGTCTGAAAATCTTCATTATGCTAATCGACAATCCTCAGTCAGTGCAGGCTGGTGAAGGTGGGGATCTAAGATGTGGGAGCAGAGAAGCCTTCTGCTGCTCACCACATCGCCCCACAGACGCCTATAACAACCTGCACAGCGCAAGGTAGTCGCCCACCCAAGCACCATCCAAGCTCAATCCTGCTAAGCTTCTGAGCTTTGACAAGACAGGGTGCATCCCGTGTGATTTTGAAGCGGGCTTGTCACACAGCACTCTGCTTTTTACATATGGGCCTCAGTGATACAATAATATCCTATATTCATTTCAGTAGGAAATTTACCATACAAAAAAAACCGGCTTGACTCTGGCAAATCGACGGCGCTTACTGATAGAAATTACTTATTCTTTGGTTCTTTCGGTAAAGTCACGTATAAAGATAAAATAATAAATTAAATAATAGCATACTACGACGTTTCGATTGCAACACAAGCAATCATCATCAGGTATGACTTTACCGAAAGAACCAAAGAATAATTCCTGCAGTCACGAAAGCTCCAAAATTGAGATAGAAATTACTTACTCGCATATCCTCCAGAGTAAAATGAAACCGCCAGCGTCTCTTTTTTTGAGTCCACCATGCCGATGAAATTGTAGTGGCAACAACGCACTCGGTGTTGGGGATGGCGGACGGCGTAGTCGCACGCTTTGCCTCCTGTAGACACAAGTTGGCTTGTTAGGGACACTTTGCCGAAGTTATCCTCCGATTAGCACGGTTGGCTGCGTACGGTGCAAAAGAAATTCAATATGCATACATAATGAACCGGAGAAGCAGGCAACGACACGGTTCGAAAGGAGCCTGGATACGTAACGTCCCTTGCTCCAAATCCACCGCTCTCGTAGCGACTGTTTACTCCCGAGTGTACTTTAGCGATCTTTAGGAAGCGGTGTGATGGACAAAAAATTTGCTGCGCCGGTATGAGTCCTGTATTCCGCTGGCAAGCCCGACGGCAATCCTCGCAAACAAAGGGACCGATATGTCAACTTGGCAGAGATGTTGAGTCAAATATTCAAGGGAATTCTCGCTTCACGTGATTCCAATTTCCTGCTCAAGCGAAGTAGAGGGCACTTTATGAATCAACTTGATGACACAGGTGAAATAACAAAGACAAGCTAAAGCTGCAGCCCTGCAATTGCTTGCTCACGTGACTGCTGGCAGAATGACCTCCACTGCTGGCAGAAGGGCAAACTCGGCAGGGTATTTTGTGTCCTCTTCCATGGCGACCAGTTGTGTGGCAAAATATAACCCCACCAAACGCGACCTGGCGATCAAATAATTGTGGTGCACCGAATTGTACCGCTGAGAGGAGAGAGGCGGTGGTGGAATGTGAGAAACTCGCACCATCGTTACAGCTGCCACGACGAGAGATTAAATCGAACGGGCAAACCTCGAGAGCTGATGCCCAGTGTGCTAACAACTACACCACGGCAGCATCCCCCTGCCGTTAGCATCGGGAGGTCTAGTAACGGGACGTAGTGCTGCACAATACCCAACCATCACAGGATCCACTTTAGACTGTATACAAAGCAGTTGCGCAACTCCTAGTCGACCGCCCATGTGTGAGAAATTTGGCACGGCCAGAAGAGTGAATTATCGTTTTCCAGAAAATTCCCATTTGCTCTGGTGGTTACACGAGACGCGGTTTCTCTGGAATAAGGAGACTTGCTGGGCGGCCCTCTACTCCACAATGTGCATTACATCATGAGGTCCCCTGCTATTTCATGCACAGTTCTTGAGAGGGAGATGTATGTTGAACTTCTTTTGCACCTTATGCAGCTAACCATGCTAATCGGAGGGGTGACACCGCAAGGCTTGTGGTTCCTCATAAAAGACATTAGTAAAGCAGCCTCGTATTATTGTAAAAAAACAAATCCCAGTTATCGCGAATGTACTATCGACGTCATTTCACGACTATCCACTCGGACAATTGAGTGCACAAACAAATGTAACCTCACGGCGTTTTCTTTTTCTGCACAGTCATTGGTGGCAAGGCTTAAAACGTCAACTCCCGATATTTCCAGAACCCAGTTAAACCACAAAGCTACCGAGTTAATAGCTACGTACTGATACCGTCTCCATTTCAAAACTCCTGCCATAATTATGCGCAGCACAACGATAACAACGTGAAGCCAGCTTACCGCTTTCTTCTCCTGCTTCAAGAATGCGCCTTGCTTCTCGAGGCCACAGTGGCCACCCGGCAGGCGAGTGCGTCTTTCTTGCTTGCCGCCTTCCCCTATATCAGCGCTCTGTCACACACCTTGGGTTTCCTCTTCCTCTTACAAGGCCGGCCTTGCTGACGCACCGACCATGAGGTCGCGCTGCCACCACGGCGCTTGAATGCTTTGCCGACAGCATGCCCTCACTTTGTCGGAACCCTGGTCGCTTCTTGCAAACGAGACGATGTTTGGTCCCTTGAGTTCTCACCTGCTTAAAAATATGGAAACTATTTTGTTATTTTACCAGGAAAGTCCCACTGAGCTATGTACAGTGAGGGAAAAAAGTATTTGATCTCCTGCTGATTTTGTACGTTTGCCCACTGACAAAGAAATTATCAGTCTATAATTTTAATGGTAGGTTTATTTGAACAGTGAGAGACAGAATAACAACAGGCAGAAGCACCGCCCAACCACAATGTGTATGTTGAACTTCCTTCGCACCGTACGTAGCCAACCGTGCTAATCGTAGGTGATGTGACCTGAACATGCATTACTTCTCACAGGAAAACATGAATTAAATTCATCCTGTGTGCAGAAACTTTAATAAGAGGACCAACAAGTTATTACAATACTGTAATTGTTTTAAAAATAGCAATTTAGGGGTTCAGTGTGGTAAAAAACAATTGTTCTTGGCTAAACATCCCAATATATATATACGTTTGAATTCCAACTAGAAGCTGTTTTAGCTGCGGAATGGAATACATTTTGCTATAAAATGCCGGTGCAGGAAAATAGTACACTTGCAAAAACCTGTGGGAAAACACCTTCACGATTGAACTATGTTTTGTGGCAATTATAGGGATGCATTTGTGGTCAACCTTTTGTTGAAAGGGTTTAAATATATTTGCCAGGTAATCAGAAGTGCTTTTCATATTGCCACCCATGCACATTTAAACACCCACAGGGGTTCGATTCACAAATATTTGCTAACCTCATCTTATTTTTATCCGATATCAGCGATAACTTTGTACAGATTCTTTTTTTTTACTTAAGTGGTGGAGTTGGTCAGCGTGCTGAGCCGGCACGGCGGAAAGCCTGGGTTCAAATCCAGGGCTCAGCTGCAAGCCTATGATTAAACCGCGTTCTTAAATGGAGTAACGAGCTGATGGTCTCACATTGTTTGGAGACTGAAAATGTCTCACTTGTGGAGGTTAGGAGAGAAGGGGGTGAGGGGGAATGCAGAGAGACGGATGCTCGGAATTTCACTGAGAGATGGAATGAGGAGCAAATGCATGGCATGGACAACATACGCAGGCTAAAGGAATACTTTGACTGTGAGAGAAAAGTAAGCGGTGCCAGGTAAACACCCATAAGTCACACAGCATATTAAAATATGGCCGAGGGAGTTAAAAAAACGAAGATCCTTGGATAGATAAATAATCTGCAAGCTCATGGCGATCAGTCATTATCCGAGCCACTCATAGGACAGTGGGGATGCTGTTCAAAGTCGTGCAGTGGTTAGAGGCACTGGGCAGAGGTCGCCTGTTGAATTTGATCAACTGGCGAGGCAGTTGAAATAGTCGTGCAGTGGTTAGAGGGCACTGGGCAGAGGTCGCCGGTTGAATTTGATCAACTGGCGAGGCAGTTGAAATAGTCGTGCAGTGGTTAGGGCACTGGACAAAGGTCGTCGGTTGAATTTGATCAACTGGCGAGGCAGTTGAAATAGTCGTGCAGTGGTTAGGGCACTGGACAAAGGTCGTAGGTTAAATTAGCAACTAGCGAGGCAGTTGAAATAGTCGTGCAGTGGTTAGGGCACTGGACAGAGGTCGTCGGTTGAATTTGATCAACTGGCGAGGCAGTTGAAATAGTCGTGTAGTAGTTAGGGCACTGGGCAGAGGTCGTCGGTTGAATTTGATCAATTGGCAAGGCAGTTGAAATAGTCGTGCAGTGATTATGGCACTGGACAGAGGTCGTCGGTTGAATTTGATCAACTGGCGAGGCAGTTGAAATAGTCGTGCAGTAGTTAAGGCACTGGACAGAGGTCGTCGGTTGAATTTGATCAACTGGCGAGGCAGTTGAAATAGTCGTGGAGTGGTTATGGCACTGGGCAGAGGTCGTCGGTTGAATTTGATCAACTGGCGAGGCAGTTGAAATAGTCGGGGAGTGGTTATGGCACTGGGCAGAGGTCGTCGGTTGAATTTGATCAACTGGTGAGGCAGTTTAAACAACTGTGCCGGTGGCCTGAATCCCACCGCATCTGTCCAACGAGCAGTGTAAATGGGTGCAACCACGGTTTGTCAATCAGGAGGTGGCGTGTGGTGGGGTAAAGGGTGGGTCCTTCCATGTCTTTCCAAAACGTCCGGCCAGTGTGGGACCAATCGGCAAAACGTCCTCCGGGGTTTGAGGAGGGGGGGCGGGCGCTGTCTACAGATCCCTCCAGTGGAGGGTCCTTCCGCCAGCAGTCGTGGGAGTGGGTGCACTTTGACCTTTCTCATAGAAAGAACACGTCACACGCATTGATGAGTCGCGATAATGTTGCTGTGTTGGGGTAAGTTTGTTCCCGCGACGTGAGCGTGGGCTCAGCGTGCTGAGGCAGTTTCCATGATGCATGCCACATAGGGAGGGCGGCGTGGGGGGGGGGGGGGCTCTCCTTGCCCACAAGTACAAAGATCTCCCGTATAGCCTGAACAGACTGTTGGGGCAAGTGCTGTTAGCGAGTAGCACCTATGAAGGCTGGCACAGTGGCACACGAGAGGGTGGTTGGCCGAGACTACCACGCTGGGCCGCCTTTGTCTCCCCGGTGGTGATGCTTACCCACAGCACCAGGCAGCGATGGACTGGGACGAAAAATTCAGCCCAGGCATTTGTGAACACACCGGCCCAAATTCGTGCAAGGTTACAATAATTTATTAGGTCTATATTATTTTTACGAACATTTTTTTCAAGGCTAATTCTACGTACTGAACACGTATATATAAAAAAATGTACGTTCTTATCAGCACTTGTACGCAATGCAATATCGAAATAAAAAGGTTGACTCATTGAACAGGGCTTAACCTCGACTCGGTTTTTTTAAGAGCAGCGACTTTAATAGCAACCGCGGATATGACACAAAGTTGTGTCGGCCGACGGGCGGACACAATTTTAAAGGAGCAATCTGATGCACATTTGTCTTTCAAACGACGCAGCACGCACGCACCGACCCCTACAACTTACACACTTATTGCGCAAACATCCCAAAAAGATCGTAGTGCACTGAAAAAAAGACGTATTTTTTACCTCGGCTAGTTTAAAGTTAGGCGACAAAGTGCCGTATTAGGAGCTAGGTTGTAATTTTACCACGCGATCTCATTGGCCCATTTGGGCTGGTCCAAAACACAAATGGGCCGCAGGGTGATGAAGAAACTTTGGGGCTGCCGAATATGGGAACTTAACACCAACCGAGAGCGTAAACAAGCAATAAAGCCTCCACATTAGAGGTCATAAAACATTTAATGAAAACAAATCTATATTTAAAAAAAAATTACTCCGATCACATTAGCAATTACCCCCCACACAGACCCTCGGAATGGACCGGCCCACCGGGCATTTGCCCGGACGTCGGGGCCCTTTGGCCAGTTGAGATAATCGTCACCGTGAGCCGGAGTCGAACTTAAGCTCGCCGGGTTCGTGGCGCAGCGCGCTGACCGCTACACTGCGGCTCACCACACAAAGGGGCGCGGACGAGACGCCTCTTAGCCCACAAGTTATGCACCCCCCCCCCCCTTCCCATCATCGTCAGCCATGCTCAATCCACTGCTGGACGAACGCTTCCCCCGAGCCGTCGCCACCTCCCACGAATCCTGCAATGGAATAATAGTCCACCCAGCACCTGCACGCGAATTTATTTAATCGCTCCATCTCTGTTGTGCACGAACGTCCATTCAGAAGCGTTCCATTCACCCGTAAATAAAACTACACAAATACTGCGCACGTGAATGCAACGTTCAAGCTAAAGCCCTTCTCGGCCAGGATTGAACTCTAGTACCCGATTAGTTCCACTGTGATGCTTGAAGTGATGGTTAAACATCGTGCGAGGGCTGTTTCAAAGTGGTAGGTTTTTAATGTGGCCACGAACTGGTGTGAAATTAAGTTGTGGGCCGCATTCGGCCCATGGGCTGTCGGTTCCTCATTTAGTGATGAAGGGGTTATCTCACACAACTCTGCCCTTCAGTGCAAATAGCAAAGGTTGGACAATATTTTGAAAAATATGCGCCTGGCATTCAACCCCTTGCACGATACGATTCAGGCATCAATTATTTTAGTATAATTCTCACCGTCTAGTTGGTATTGCTTCTCGTGTGTGCTGCTTAGTGCACGTAGTGTCGTACATAACGCTTTTTCGTGAGCCTGAGTCGAACCATTCGCGTGTAAATTGCGCCTTTCACAGGTGGCCAATTCTCGCGCGCATGATTAGGACGCAGGGAACACGAGCGTCAACATCTGTTTCAATTGCTGAATAGATGCTTGATTACACGCAACGTGTAGAGAAGTTGGGAATATCGCTTCAATAAGGCCCTGCGCACAGCTCAACCAATTACCCAGCACCCTGCATTTTAAAACATCCGCTCTTTGAATGAAGCCTTTTCACCTGCGATCAAATCGTCGCACCCAACCCGCACCGGTCAAGTCTCGGAAAGTTCAGCAAAGTTGAGCTCGGACACTGCAACATTGGGAGACCACCCGCCCTGGCGTCGTGATACAGGCGTTAGAGGCTCTTCGGCAATGCTCCCCGATAATCATCAATCGCCACTCACCGGCACAGTGAAATTTGGTCTAAATAATCTGCATGATCTTGCACGGCGTGGAGCGGCCTGTCACCCAGATTTGCCATGTGCAAGGCGTTTTGAGTCACAACCGGCACAGTAACTTGTCATTTCGTCGGATGTGGCTAAAATAGTCAGCAGTTTCTTGCTGTTTGCTGCGCGGTCACCGTGGGGTTAAATGGGTTGGGCACAAGTTGCAATGACCATGTTTCGTTCCTCATACTTTGGAGATGTGGTGCAGCGTGTCGGACCAGATACAGCTCTTCCTCCTTTATTCTTTGTGCGGCGCCTCCAGTGGCGCAAGACACGAGAGACGGACAGATAAACGCGTACGGGTCCATCAGCCGAGGCTGTGGTGTACCGCATCTACTCGTCAGAATAATAAATAATGATAACTCGTGGTTGGTTAGAGCGTCCTTCACGCCAGGGCGTCTTAGAGCGTTTTACACGGCACGTTAAAACCTAATTAATTGCAAACATTACTTAAGAAAAGCTGGTTAAAAATAGCTTCAAAGATTTGAGGAACAATAAATGCGGCAATAATATTGAGATGAAGAGGGGATGAGGGCTGGAGGAAAAAAGGCAGTTAAAGGAGGGGACATTTGTGGGAAGAAAGGAGGGAGATTTGGCAATGTTTGAATATACATGTTAATCTATTTACAATAAATCCAGACATTTTGCCCAGTGAAGACTTTTAGCTTCCAGGAGTGGCAGTGCTTTTTTGGAAGATTTTTTGCTCTTTTTTTCTGTTTTTTCCTGGATTTTTATGTTAGCGCATAGTCGCTTTAAGATGTTTTCTTGTTCATGTTTTAGTTTTTTTGTTTGGCGCGGTTGCACCCGATTCAAGAGCCGAATGGCTCACAGGGCTATACCAAATAAAGGAAACGAAAAAAAACTGAAAAAAAACCAGTGCTGGGGAAGGCAGCCCAGTGGTGTGTAGGTTTCCCGTATTCCTCTCATTGGTGATCGAGCGGTGATCTACGGCAGGAACGGTTATTTGCAATGGTCATACTTCCTCAGCTTCGAGGTACGGTTCAGTGTGTAATGCCAGATAGAAAGGTTCCTCTTCCAGTCTCGCAAAGTGCTAGAGCATGATAGCGGGGAATACAAGCTACTTACCATGTTTCAGGTTAGAGTTTTGTAAAGAGAGTATTACATTTATAATCGAAATGTTATATAACATTACATGTGAGGGGGGGGGGGGGGTTGCCTTCCTAGTATGTTTAGACAGCCGTTGTAGGTCAAAGGGCATTTCTGAGACGTATTCATACATGTAAATAAATAATTCTTAATCATAGATGTACAGTTTTCATTTTATTTACATGCATTTAAAATATATATTATATTCCCTCTGCTAAAATAGTAATAAAGTCGAACAGAGAAAACAGCATGTTATTTTAAATATTCTGAATATCTCCCACAAATCGTTCAACACTCTCCTCTAAGACACGGGGGCATGGCGTTCACAATGTTCAAACAGCCGTTGAGAAGAGACTTAGAAGAGACATTAGATGTCAGCAGGGTATCTATAAACAGATCACCTTGTAAAAGGAAAAAAAACGAATGTATATGCAATACATTTTATTTTATTTCATTAATTGAGTTGACTTTCTATTCGAGTGGGAACAATTTCACTGGCCTGGTTGCTCAGCAGTGGGGACAGCAGCTCCCAATCGGAAGATTGCGAGTGAAAATCCTGGCTGTGGGATTCACTCAGCTCAGTATTCCTATCAAGGAGGTTAATTAACGATGATTGCCATGTGGATAAAGACTTACGCCCACCATAGGACAGTATAATTTCTGCCAGTAGTTTCCTGGCAAAAATTCAGGAAAGTACTTTGAATAGAATTTTTATTAAAAGTTTTCGTGACTACAGGGATTCATATTATTGGTTCTTTCGGTAAAGTCATGTAGAAGGGAAATAATAAAATAATATGAATATAAAACAATACAAATTATCACGACGTTTCGACTGCAACACAAGCAATCATCATCAGGTGTGAAATCCACAGCAAGAAATTTTGAATTGTTTACAATTTAGCACGTGAAATATTTTGCTGGGTGTGCCACTTTGGTACACTACCACAGAAAATCATATCAGGATATTATAATAATCATGAAGATAATTATTTACTGCTGCAAATCTCGCACACATTGAATGCATTGTTCGACCGAGAACTTGGGCGCGGAATCAATGCTCAAAAGTCCCTTGTATTCCAACCGGGATAGGTCCGCCCAAACATGTGAGCCTGAACATGTGAACCTATACAAGTGAGCCTGGACAGGAGAGAGCCTGGACAGGAGAGAGCCTGGACAGGAGAGAGCCTGGACAGGAGAGAGCCTGGACAGGAGAGAGCCTGGACAGGAGAGAGCCTGGACAGGAGAGAGCCTGGACAGGAGAGAGCCTGGACAGGAGAGAGCCTGGACAGGAGAGAGCCTGGACAGGTGAGCCTTGAATTTATATTCTTTGGGTCGTTCGGTAAAGTCACGTACATAGACGAACGCTTGTATTGCGATCGAAACGTCGTAGTTTTTAGTTTTTTTCTTTCAACCTATCTACGTGACTTTACCGAAACACCCAAAGAATATGAATTCCTGCAGTCACGAAAGCTTTAAGCCTTGAATTGATGTTTGAAGGTGGATGGTGCTTGGATGAAGCTGCCCTTGTGTGGCAGTGGGAGAGAGAGTTCCAGACGGAACGTCGGTGCAGCTACGGAGCAACGCCGCTCAGCCAGGACGCTCCTGGCTCTGGATACGAAGCACATTCCTCCTGCGGAGGGAGCTGGTAGGAACGTTGTGTTGCTCGGTCAATGGCCAGGGTCAACCGCGGCGTGGTGTATTCCGCAAATATGCCCGACTGTGAGGGCGGGCACAAGACGGCATGAGTAGGTTGAACGTTGAGTTTTATAAGGGCACCACGGGGTGGCCAGCCCCTCTCCACTCAGCTCCACCCTTCCCACCCCCCACCCAGCCCCACCCCTCCCACCCCCCACCCAGCCCCTTCCCACCCTCCCCACCCAGCCCCTCCCCACCCAGCTCCTCCCCACCCTCCCCACCCAGTCCCTCCCCACCCAGTCCCTCCCCACCCTCCCCTCCCCACCCAGCCCCTCCCCACCCTCCCCTCTCCACCCAGCCCCTCCCCACCCTCCCCACCCAGTCCCTCCCCACCCTCCCCACCCAGCTCCACCCTCCCCACCCAGCCCCTCCCCACCCTCCCCACCCAGTCCCTCCCCACCCTCCCCACCCATCTCCACCCTCCCCACCCAGCCCCTCCCCACCCTCCCCACCCAGTCCCTCCCCACCCTCCCCACCCAGCTCCACCCTCCCCACCCAGCCCCTCCCCACCCTCCCCTCCCTCAGGTGAAGAACAGGTCTGTCGAGAAGACAGAGTCATTCAGACTCTGTCTTCTCGACAGACATGTTCTTCTGCTTGCGTTGTGGCCGAAACGTCGTGAGAATTATTTTGTTTTATTTTATTATTTTATTATTTCCATTCTACGTGACTTTACCGAAAGAACCAAGAAGTTGTATTTAAGAACTTGTATCTTGGAATTGTTTGCCTCACTTAATACAGTAAATCTAGCTGTGACGGTTCCACCTGATGACGGAGACTTGTGTTGCCTCCGAAACGTCGTTATTTATTATTTTATTTTGTTTCTATTAATTTAATTTTTTACCGACGTGACTTTACCGATAAAACCTAAGAGTATGATTATGCACGCTCTGCCACGAGGGGGAGACACCGGATCGATTCCACAATCGACTCGTTGTTTCACATTAAAGCAATCAAAATCGATTCCCAAAGTTTAACCACATCTGCTGCGCTAACTTTCTCAATTGATGAGTAATTATGGCTCCAGTCGTTATTGATCGTTTACTTACGACCTTGAAAATTATCGTGAAGATCGCGATAGTTCGTCAAACTTGGCGATTTCATGCGGGTTATGATGAATCGAGTGAGTAATTGAATTATCGTGAAAATCGATTCCCATGAACATGCCAGGCGAGATTACAGGGTATCCCACTTTTGTTCCGTACGTGTTAAACAATTATCTCCGTTTCAGTTGCTTTAGTTATTAATCCATATTACATTTATTCACTATAACTAGAGTAATCTGTGAGAAAAAAAGAAAACAATTGTCTTTGAAACAAAAACAATAAAATAAAAATATCGCTTCACAGTATTTCCACCCTCTCACTTCATCCCCAATGGTATCGCCCACCTTGTCCTTTGACCCCTACCGGTGGGTGGGGTCAGGGGTTACGCGCGCCACGTGGTTCCGCACTCCACGTGCGGGAAGGCTTCGCTCACAGCTTCGCGTGGCCTGCGCGTGATAGAAAGAGAAACAACTCCAGCGGAAAGGATGAAACGACGATCCAGTACCCACAAAGTGTCCGACAGTGAGAACGAGCGAGCTGAGGGCGGTGAGTGTAAGAGCGGGGAGCGACGCACCGGGGGTTATGCGATGTGTGTGGTACCCAGAATGATCATTTTCTGAGTCTCGGCGTGGCAATACGTGCGTTGAGATAAATGCCAATGTCCTTCGTAAGATAGGCTTCGTGTAGTGTTGCTGTTCTTGCGTTGAAGCGCAGACTACAGGGTGGTGCAGATGTCTTATAACTCCCCGTTTAATTCTATAATACTTAATATTTTTTTAAAATATCAATGGGGGTGAACAGAAATGAATAAGCAATGGAATTAATAGGGGGTGACAACACATCTGGACCAACCTGTAGTGTAGTTTGCTATATCGTCCGTATTCTGGATCGCGCTGTCTGTGGTTTGTATTGGATTACTCCGGTGGGTAGAATTGTTTTGAGGTTAGGCCTGCCATCTCTTAGTTTCTCTGAGTATCTCGTAGTTTACAGAGAACCGGGACAGATCGCGGGAAGATGAATATGTCTCAATACCTAAAGATCGGTACAGGAGACGGGAGGTCGTTCGTCAAAAGTTTCTGAACATCACTAAGGCGTTGCATGAGCACATGAAAGTGAGAATCAGTGTTGATGGGCAGCTGACGGAGACATACCAGCCAGACGTGGGGTAAAGCAAGGATGCGTGCTTGCGAAAACCCTCTTTGCCGTCTACGCAGCTGTTCTGTACAAACCTTGGCGACATGTGAGTACGATACATCACATTTCGTGCTGACGGTGGAGTTGTCAACCTCTCCGGACTGCCTGATGTTCATTCTGCGGGACTGCCAGTTTACAGATGATAGTGCATTTGTGACGCTGTCAGCACAGGCCCTTCGGAATATCATGAATAGCTTTCCTCTGGGGGTGTGCGGCAGTTCGGATTACAGTTCAGAAATAGAGGCGACGGTGATAAAAAGGATCCTACAGAGTTCCATCATTGTAGAGGGAGATGAATTATCAGAACCGTCACTGAATACTGGATGTGGAATTGGACAACTTCCTTTTCTAGTGCCTCCTCGGTGTTGGTCGTCTGTGGAAGAGGCTACGGTCATCTGATGATGTTACTTCTCAGTGTCCTCAGCAGTGGTTATATCTGCATTATTATATATCGGTGGCGAGATGTTGATGCCCTCGCCAGGTATGCAAGACGTCGTGGGTTAGATCCCGACCCTGGCGCCTGTAAATTTGGAATTTGCACGATGGTGTCTGCGTTTATGGTGTCACATGAAGCTTCTTTCTACAATACGTTTCAAGTTCATTTCGTTTAACCAGGTGAGAAATTAGAAGGCGTCGGATGGTCCCATTTGCAAGACTGACCCGAGCCACCGAAGTGACAAGGATTAGCAGAAAACAATAAGTACAACAATGAGGCAAATATAAATCGGAGCAAAAGCAACCAAATAGAGTTCCCCCCCCCTCCCCTTAGGACTAACCGCATCAGTAACCCGAGCCCAAACGTTAACTGAACAACTCTCGTGCCTAGTTAAGGGCAAGGTACGTGTAGAACCCTGTTCAATCCGCTGCTGGATTGTCGCCGGGGCCTTATACGACTATCCTTCAGCATGGTCAGTGTGGGTTAGGGGAGCATAGACACGGGAGCGTAGTACAGTAAAGCAAGGCCTCGTGCTGCATTGCCCTCTGCTGCCCATCACCTAACCTCACAGGAGACTACAGCGGTGTTTCTGTTAAAGGATGGCGATCAACTATCCAAGCGGTATCCAGGCTCAAGCATGCTTAGCTTCCGAGATCGGACGCATCTCATGTTTATTTAAGAGTAGCCATGGTGTGTTTCAATTTACTCGCGACTGCCAGCTTAAATTTAGTGGTGGCGTGCAACGTCACGCGTGTCTCGCCAGAGAATTATCAGCAAGCATATTTTGGCCATGCGACTGGCAAAATTGTTGCGGCACAGTAATGTATTAAAAGCACCATGCACAACATTAATTTATAACACGAGTAGGAGGGTTGCCAGATGTCGCATCTCATCGCGGCGCAAATAATTCTCACGGACAGCAAATTATCTTTATGTGCTGTTGCAAGACTTGAATCTGCATTTCTTACGACGACGTTTGTGCACAGATGACAGCTGTCGGCAGAGGGCACTGCAACAGAGCGCACAAAAAAATAATTGTACTTTGCCACGCACCCTACGTCCGTGCTCCCCACCTGCATCAACCCACATTGTCCAGCCTGGTCAAATAATTAGTCACCCACACAGCACGGCCGTCTGGAACGCGCTCTTCCTTCCGATATTCGGTAGCCATTGCAGCTATGCAATTTAAAATTTAGATTTTAAACGAATTTCTTTAGAACTGCATGTTGTGTTGAATTTCATATCCTTCCTTCACACCTCCGATTAGCACGGTTGGCTACGTACGGCACGAAATAAGTTCAACATACACAAAAAATTGTCCAGGTGAACTGTTGTAATAAATATAACAATGAGGGCTACTCAAGGGACATTATTGTTGTATGTGCGCAGCTGTACGAGCACAGTTTAATTAATTATCACTCGAGCCAACGATTGATACGGTGCAAAAGATGTTCAGCATACACCCATCCAGCAGTGGATTTAAAAACGGCATGTACAAGTGCAATGTGTATTAACGTTTTTTTACAGAAATCTCAAGCAAAGTGTTTGAGTGCCCTCCGGATTTCGAGCAGGGTGCTTACATTCCACTCGGCGGTCTCACGGTAGAAAGTGCCAAGGCCTCGTCCACTGAAATATGGCTCATCCAGGCACCGACAGACTTCTCTCCACAGTGGTAAGCATCAGCAATTCTCTTCTTAAACATCTTTTCACTTTTGTTTTAAAGCTTTCGTGACTGCAGGGATTCATATTCTTGGTTCTTTCGGTAAAGTCATGTAGAAGGGAAATAATAAAATAATATAAATATAAAACAATAAAAAATTCTCACGACGTTTCGACTGCAACACAAGCAATCATCATCAGGTGTGAAATCCAAAGCAAGAACCGCCACTTTTTTCAAATTTTCTTGCTGTAGATTTCACACCTAATGATGATTGCTTGTGTTGCAGTCGAAACGCCGTGAGAATTTTGTATTGTTTTATATTATATTATTTTATTATTTCCCTTCTACGTGACTTTACCGAAAGAACCAAGAATATCTTTTCACTTGCTTTACATATATATCCATAATAATTTTTTTTTGGTTTAGATCGTGTAAATATAAATGTGTCACCTGATGATGCTAGTCGTAATCAACGGCGAAACGTCGTACTCGAATTGTAAATGTTGTGGGTTCACTGAACTAGTTATGAATTGGCATGTTTTGTTTATGTGACAAACCTTACTAATTGGCTGTGGTGGGTTTAACAACACATTTATATTCACGTGATCTAACCCAAAAAAATGTATATGAATATATATTGCCGTTGGGGTGTTTCTTTTATTTGGTGTTCTTATCACTAGCCTGCGTGCTTTTATTAGATTTTTACAGTTTTTGTTTCATTATGCATTTTTATATTCATACTTGTACTTCTGTACAGCACTTTCAGACCTCCAGTGCTTTACGAGTGTAGATTCTCATTTTTGTATGAATCGGGGTTGGAATTCGATTCCAGAGGCATCCATTCCTTTTGGTCCCATTTTCAGTATCTCTTGTTCCGTCTTGTCTGTGCACTTCTCCACGCTGTTGGCCGAAATACAACTTTATATTTACAATTGGCATGACCTGTGAGTAATCCATTCTAGGGGGGCACTATTTAATGTGTCTTTCCAGTATGAGAATCGATTTTAATTGAGAAAAATGTGATGAGTGTTACACACTTAATAAGCTTCAGATAATCCTGGCATGGTTCCCATATTCAGGTTACTGCTACACTTAAAAATGCACTTCCTTGCATGTGAATTTATAATGCAGACAATGTTATACCATAGCTTTAGTTATTTTTGTGGTTGCGCTGTAAAGCTCGCTGATATCTTTTCGTGTTGTACTGCATGTCGTTCACCGTGATGTCCGACGTCTCGCTTCGAAACCTTCAGTTCCTGAACGTAGCTGATATCAAGCAATGCAATGAGCGTCGTGCTTTGTGATGAAAACTCAATCAATAGTTGCGGCCAATCAACAATCCAGAAAACTAACACAAACGTGTTTTCTAGTTTGACAGGTATGACGATCCCGCTGGAGGGATTCGAACGCGTGACTTCGGACAAGGAGAACAAGCACTACAGAATCATGAGCAGCTGTCGAGAGATGCCCAAGACGGGCGTGGTGCTGCCTATGGAGAAGGGAGGCAACTTGCAGTGGGCTCCAGTGTTGAAGGGAATGATCTCCGTCACCGAGGAGGCAGTTGGGATGGCAAATGGCAGTGGAAAGATTCATCCGGTTCCTGTTCCTCCTCCGCCGAGCATCCCTGAGGGTCTCCGGCAGAGGTTTAAGCCCTTCGGATACAGCCAGCCAGCCGGCGCTCAGGAGCACGTTGCGGACAGAAAAGAAACTACTCGGAAAAAAAGTAAATTGGCCGTCGAGCCTGAATTGGTGGTCAAGGATGAACCCGATGGGTGCAAACGGGCAAAGGACAAAAAATCACGTGCAAAATCTAGGGATGAGACTGTGCCGGCCGCACCACTCGCTGTGCAGGTGAAAGTGGAACCCGATGAGGGCGACGGCAAGGCTCACGGCAGGAAAAAGAAAAAGAAAAACAGAGAGAAGGACCGGGAGGTGGCGGCTCCAGTGGTTGTCGACGGCAGAAATTTGACGGTGCGGGTCAAAGAAGAGGGCGCGGAAGAACGTAACGGTAATGAGGAGAGTCCAGAAGCAGCAACGAGAAGCGGTGGAACCGAGTCGTCGTTGCTACGTCTGCAGGACGCGTCAGGAGAGAGCGAGGAGGGAGGGAAGGAGGAGCTTAAACCTAAGAAGAAGAAAAAGAAAAGCAAAAAGGATAGGAAGGAAGTGGCACCACTGGCAGCTGTGGAGATGAGCGAATTGTCAGAAGGTGCGTGTGCAGCAGTGGAGATCGAGCAGGGATCGACTGAGTCTCGTTCCAGGAAAAAGAAGAAAAAGAGCAGAGACAAGGAGAAAACGGCCGTGGGGGAGGGAGTTTGTGCAGCGGACTTGATCAAAAACGAGGCCGATGACGGCGTAGAAGTGAAAACGGAGATGGAATCGTGGGATCTGATAAAGGAGGAGGCCGCCTCTCCCTCGGCGTATCCCTGCGTAGTTCCCAAGGCAGAAGCGGAGCAGAATGAGCCTTCCGTTCGGAGGAAGAAAAAGAAACGGCGAGATAAGGACGCGGACGATGCGGACGATGCGGGGGGAGAGGGGCACTTGGCTGCGGGGACGACGAGCAGTCGCGGTGCGGTGGCGGGCGACGCAGGCGCGGCAGACGTCGAAGTGGCGGACGTAGCCGTTGACGACACGGAGCCGAATCCGGTCAAACGAGAAGACGAGAAAGAGGCTCGGAAGAAGAAAAAGAAGAAGAAGAAAATGAAGGAAGAGGAGGAGGAGAAGCACGTGGCGGTGAAGAGAGAGGAGCCTCCGAGCGATGCAGCCGCTGTGGATGAACACGCTTCGAAGAAGAGGTCTAAACACAAACAGTCGGAGGAGGAAATTCCAGATGCCGATGTCGGTGAACGTGTTCACAAGAAGAAGAGGAAGAAATGAGTGGTCGTTTATTTCGTTTTTAAATGTGAATCATGTTTGTCACCCGTGATAAAAGTGGATGTTATAATGACCTGTGTTCAGGAATAACATCGCAGCGGCAGAGCTTAGATGCAGTGCATAACTTGGGCCGACCCAAACATGGTGTCTAACATCTCAAGTTTATGTTTGTTCTCTTTTATTTTTCCCAGGTTGTAATAAACAATTGTAATGAACCTGCCTCTACAAGTGCGGGCAAGTTCGTCAATATTAATATGCCGCTAAAGCGTGCACTGTTAAAATGTCAACGTTTTATTTCACTTTCGAAATGTGAAGTTTTGCTCCCGTTGTAAACATAAATGAAAGGTCTGCATGGACGGCTAGGGACTGGTGCCTCCAGTTCAGCTTTACGTTATATCTGCTCTGACCTTAACTTTAATGCTTTGCGCCATATGGCTGATGTCGGGGAAATCCACAGGGTCCCGAGCCCATTTCGCGACGTAAAACTGCACAAACGTGCCTTCTAGTTTCACCATCAACACGGCGTCCGTGTTGATGTTGATTTTGTTAACACGGGATAACAGCGTGGGACGAGCGGGCACGGCAGGCGTGGGGATGGTTCATTGTCCTGCTATTGTCCTACAAAAGAGGCTGATGGTGACAGTTTAATCGGCCTGCGTCGATGGCCCGATTGATTGTAAGAGTGGCTCGCGTATCACCGCGAACAGCTCCAATGTCGACGCGCTTTCCACACCGCTCCGGAGACAAAAAAAAACCCGCAGAAAATCTCAAAGCGCCCGGCGCGCGTCGATAAACATCTCTGCGTTTAATTGCTGCCCGAGATTTACGGACGCGACGCGCGCACGGCCATCCGCCCACTGCCAGCGCAAGGTTGTTATGTTTTGCTTACGAGTGGTGCACGCGCGCGCGCCGCTGTGATGGCGCACGTTCGTTGGGGGTTTGGGGTAGTACTCGTGGCTAATTGGTTGTAGCTGGGCTTGGCTAATGGGCCAGTTGGTCGCTAGCCACTTGGACCAGTGCAAGTGGCTGGTGGTCGAGTTGGGATTCGGAGTAGGACTAGTCCTATTCACTGGTTAGCTCGTTGGTTACCGTTCTGCGTATGGTTTGTACTGGTCGCTGGTTGACTACTCAATGTTATGAGTAGAACTAGTACTAGTGTCTGGTTGGCTATTTGGTTACGATTGGAGTTGGACTACAATTGGTGGCTGTTTGATTCGGGATCGGTATAACATTTGCTTGACGAGTGCTTTCCCCTCTATGGCAGCGCATCACCTGGCATTGTCCCATTTTTCATTTCTGATGTCCACAGGGGGCCCTTGCCATGTGCACGCTCCGATGCCCAGACTCGTTTTATCGCCGACAGTGCAGACATTGGCTGTGCTGTCGCCTCTCCTCCCTGGAGGGGGGGGGGAGCAGGTCATCCAAGGAGGTGTTCGTTCGCTTCGCCGGTTAAGATCCCTCCCTCGCCGATTGCCTCGGGCAGCCAGTGTCACATGTAGGTGGCCTTCTTTTCATTGGGGGGGGGTGGGATGAGTGTGTAGGGGGGTGGGGGGGGTCCTCTTTCTCCCCGCGTCGGTGAACTTGAGCTCCCGGCAAAAGGAAAAGGGTCATCGGCACCTTCATCGGCGTGCTCGCTCGTGCGTTTTGACGCACGCTCGGCGCGATTGTCGGCGAGGAAGGATGAGTGATTGATGGACGGGGATTGGGTTTATATTTTATCAGATGAGAACTCAAGGCGGGACAAAGGTGTAGCCCTGGCAGTATATTGCTCACATCACTGCTGGCGGAAGGGCGTCCGCTAGAGGGGCAGCTCAAAGAGGGATGCTCGTTTCGAAGGTTATTTGGCCTACTCTTCCACGCTGGCTAGAAGTCTCGAAAGAGGCTGGGGTACCCACGCTTTACCCCACCCACACACGCGACCATGCCGATCGACAACTGCGGTGTAGCCGTTTATGCTGCTGGGTGGACAGGAGGCGGCGGTGGCGGCGGCGTGTAAGAAACTTGCACCATCGTTTGAGCTGCCGCGCCGGGAGATCGTACCGGCGACCTCCAACGGTGAAAGTCGTCCAGTGCGCTGACCATCACCCTTCGGCAGTATCCGCCAATACACGGCCCGTCTGTGACGTCTCAATGAAGCCTCGGCGTAGCCTTCCTGAATCAGCAAAAGGGCAATATCACGGTTAGCATCGTGATGACAGTGAATCTCATGAACGGTAATGCTATTGTGAGTTTGTTTTAAGCCGACAGTACCGCCGGTGGCACGGGTGATGCGTTCGCATTTGCATCATCACTTGCCACAAGCCAATTTAAAACAAAACACGCAGAGGCAGATACCACACGAAAACATAACACGAAAATCCACGCCCGTGAATTGAACGGGCGTTGAGAGAAAGTGTGTGTGTGTTTGTATGGTTTTTTTCACACGCAGCCGTTTTAAATATAATTACGGCTTACCTGTTCGGGGGGGGGGGGGCCGGGCGGTGGGGAGTGCCCGGCAACACCTGCGAATTTTCTTTTTAAATTGAGAGCAATTTATAATTAAAGTGACGATTAATTTGTAATTCGACGAGGAGGGTAGGCAAGAGAGAGGGATCGAGAGAGAGAGAGAGACCGCGTGTGCTGACCCTGAGAAATTACGAACACCGCCAAACAATTTTGTCCTCTCAAAACCACCGTGTGCTGGTTGTGTTCGAGGTACAATTACCCTCGCGTTAACGCGCGCGGAGCGATTGATTGGGGCCCATCATCATTATAACGGTGTTTATCTCTTCCACACTTGCAAAACACACACTTGTGTTTTTTTTTGTATGAGCTCTCACCTGGATATGTAGGTCACACGCGTGTATATATGTAGACAACGCAACGCATTCATCAGTAACACTGGCCTAAAAATATATAGATAGTATAGGCGACGTTTCAGGCAATGGGCCTCCAAAGCACGCAAATTCACGTTTGTGAAATCTCGTGTCCGTCAAAAAAACTGCATGGCAGATAATGTGAAAGAAATGTGCTATGAAGGGCCATTGCCCGAAACGTCGCATATTTATATATTTTATGAACTGGATTCGAAGCTTTCGTGACTGCAGGAATTACTCTCTCTGTTTTGTCTCTCAAATTTAGCAATCTTTGTAAGAACGTAATCAACCAGGTGGAGTGTTGATGGTTTTGTTGCCCGACTCTGTGTTGTATTGCATTATATTTACAAGTTTACTATGTTTGTTTTCTCATTCATTTGTACCCGATGATGGTTGCTGGTGTTGAAATCGAAACGTCGTCTTCTATTATTATTTAATGTATTTATATATGTATGTTATCTTTTAAGGCAACTATGTTATTGGCGAATGGGCCAGGTTTGTGTTATTACTCATGCTTGTGCACCACTGCCAACGCAGCAGCAACAGCACCACTACAGTAATGTTTTTTTCTGTAGAAAACGGTCAAAGGTTTAGCCCTGCAATTTCCTGCTCACGTCCCTGCTGACAGAAGGGTCACACGACTTGGGGTAGCTCAAGAGAACCTCTTCGGAGGGTATGTTGGCCTACTCTTCCACGCTAGCCATACGCTTATAAATGGTCATGCACAGCCCCTTTCGAATCCACTACTGGATGAAAACCTCCCCACGCCGTGTGACGGTCTTGCGGTGGCGCTTGATCACACTTCACCACGCAGGTTGGAGCAAGCTGGTGAGTTAGGAAGCGATTGAAAGGTCTGACAGCCGAGCGTATTCTTTGACGTGTGCCTGGAACCCTGACCGGGCAGCAGCAGCAGCGTCCCACTGGGCGAAGACCCCGGGGCCGGCCCAGGACACGCTGCTGGCGTGACCATGTCGCTCCGCTGGCCTGTGAGTTGCGCATGAAGAGCTAGAGTCTGTGTATAGCAGTCTAGTGTAGTGTATAGTGTAGTATATAGTGTAGTGTAGTATATAGTGTAGTATATAGTGTAGTGTAGTATATAGTGTATATAGTGTAGTATATAGTGTAGTGTATAGTGTAGTGTAGTATATAGTTTAGTGTAGTATATAGTGTAGTGTATAGTGTAGTGTATAGTGTAGTGTAGTATATAGTGTAGTGTAGTATATAGTGTAGTGTAGTGTGTAGTGTAGTGTAGTATATAGTGTAGTATATAGTGTAGTGTAGTATATAGTGTAGTGTAGTATATAGTGTAGTGTAGTATATAGTGTAGTGTATAGTGTAGTGTAGTATATAGTGTAGTGTATAGCAGTGTAGTGTAGTATATAGTGTATAGTAATGTAGTGCTAGAGTTTGTCGCCGGGGAAAGGGAGGTCTGGACCGCCACTACTCGACACGCTGCCGCCGCGATCCTCGCCAGGTCAAGCGAACTGAGAAACGATCGGAGTTTAGGTAAATTACGAATGCGAGAATGGCGTAAATCATTTCCAGGCCCATGTCAATCCACTTCTGGACGAAGGCCTCTCCATACTTCACCACCCTGCACGGTTCGGGTGTGTGAAGGCGCAGGGGGGGGGGGGGGGGGTTAGGACAGAACCAGTCCGGTTTGTCGCTCGACAGTCAAGTTGGCCGCGGTCGGGAGGCGAACTCGGCAGTGGCCGGCTTTGTGCCCGCGCAGTTCGAGAAATCGCGCGCCAAGACAGAATCGCACGAATTGCAGTGACCGCTTGTGGGCAGCCTTGCACTAAGTAGCACGTGTGTGTGTGTGCGCTGCGTAAACAATGGGGAGCGGTGGTGTCGTGATTAACGCGCTGCGCAAACGAACCCACCTGCCCGAGTTCGATACCCGCTCATGGCCAACAACAGTGACGATTATCTGAACCGGTCTCGGACCTCCCCTAGGTCGAATGAGCCACAAATGAGTTCCTAGTGCGGAGTGTAAACATCGCTACTGGGGAGACAAAGGCGGTCAGGCGTGGTGCTGGCCACCTACGCTCGTGTACCGTGCCGGCCTTCGTAGTGTGCTTTCTAACAGCACTTGCCCCAACAGTCTGTTAATGCTATACGGGGGATCTTTGTCTTTGCTGTGTACAATGGCTGGAGCGATGGTGCATCGGTTCGCGCGCTGCGAACCCGTCGACGCGCGTTCGGTTCCCAGTCACTGATAACTTCAGTGGCGACGTCAACCGATCCCCGGACCTCTCACTGGTCAACCCGGCCTCAAACAAGTCCTGTGTGTGTGTAAACAACAGCATTAGGGAGCCAAAGACCGCTACTTAGTGGTGAACTGCGGTTGTTGTGGGTTTCTGCGTGCGTGTGAACACGAGGTTGCGTTGGCTGGGGCATGCAGCCCCTGCCAACGCAGCCACCGCATGCCCAAACAGCCTTTGTTTGGCCTCGTAGAGGGGGCGAAACGGGCGCGGCACGGGCTAGAGAAGAGATGGAGAGACGTGGTACAAGAGAACGTGGAGCTCCGTTAACTTGCCGATGACCGGTACAAGCGGTGTCAAAATCGGTCTCTGTGGAGGAGGCTCGTGAAGGACGCTTCTGCTACTGGGAAGTTGGAAGCGGGTCGCCCTCCAACAACAGCGGAGGGCAGAGAGGAGCGACGCTCACAACAACGAGCGGAGCGCCAGGCCGCTAAAACACAGCAAATTGGCACAGCCAGCTCAGTTAACCCACAACACCTGGGTCTGTCCCGTGACCTGCCAGCGAACCTTCGACACTTCACGTGACCTTAAAGTGCACCTGGCTTGTCACAAGCGCCGTGCGAATGGCACGACTCTGGTGCGGTGTGTAAACATCGACACTGGGGAGACAAAGGCGGTCGGGCGTGGCGCAGGCTACCCGATGCTTCGTGTGCCGTTCCCTCCGTGATGGGTGCCTGCTACTCGCTAAGAGCGCTTGCCCCAAGCAGTCTGTTAAAGGCTACCGGGGGCGATGATTGTGTTGCGTCGTGTTTAGAATGCGTGGGGAGCGGTAGTGTCGTGGTCATCTGACTGCGCTACGAACCCGGAAAGACGGCCTTCAATTCCCGCCTGCGACAAATAACAGTGGCGAATATTTTATTTGAACGGGTCCCTGTGCCTCCGCTAGGTTGACTCAGCCTTGAAGTAAGTGTACCTGGTACGATGTGCAGGTAAGCATCAGCACTGGGGATGCAAAGGCGTCCGGGCGTGATGCTGACCCCCCCCCCCCACCCCTTGTGCCGTGCCGGCCTTCATAGGTGCTACTGTTGAACAGCAAATTGCCCCAATAGTCCGTTCAAGGCTATACGGGGGATCTTTGTCTTTGTACACTATCGTGGGGAGCGGTGGTGGAGCGGTTAGCGCGCTGCGCTACGAACCCGGCAACCCGAGTTCCATTCCCGCTCAGCCAACACCAGTGACGATTATCTGAACCGGTTATGGGCCTCACCTAGGTCGACTCAGCCTCAAATGAGTACCTGGTGCGGTGTGTAAACATCACCACTGGGGAGACAAAGGCGTCCGGGTGTGGTGTTGGCCACCCACCCCATCGTGTGCCGGGCCGGCCTTTATAGGTGCTGGCTAACAGCACTTGCCCCAACAGTGTGTTCGGCCTTTACGGGGGATCTTTGTCTTTTGTGTGCGCCGTGGCCTCCTCCTCTGCTCATCCCGGCGCATCCATCACCACCACGCGTGCTCTCGGCTCCCCTGCGCCGGATTCGTGTGCCACGTGGAACGTTCATCTCTGCACCGCAGGGGGTCTTGTTGTGTCGCTGATGTGGTCTCAGTGTAATGTCGTTCCCGTAGCGTCTTTCTTTTTTTTTACAATGGCATAATTTCTATTGAGCTCCCATAGACGATTTGTATAAATAACAAGACGAAAGATCTCCCCATGCATGTAGCCTGCTCAGGATGTTGCGGCAAGTGCTGTTAGGGGATCAACGCGACACACAAGCGGGTGGGTGGCCAGCACCACGCCCTACCGCCTTTGTCTCCCCAGTGCCGATGTTGACACACCGTACCAGTTACTCATTTACGGCTTAGCCTATGGGAGCCCCAGAACCGGTTTAGTTAATGATATTTGGTCGTGAGCGGGAATCGAACTCTGGTTCGTCGGGTTCGTAGCACCATTGCCATGTATAAGAAACACAAACACATGTGCGTAAGTGCGCCCACCACCAAATCACTCGGAATGAGCACGAAATCTCATCGGATCTGGCGAGCTAAGTCGGGTTGAGCCTGGTTAGTATTTGTATGGGTCACCTCCATGGACAGAACCAGGCCGGGCGAGGGTTATGCGTTCGGCAACAAATTGCGTTGAGTGTAGTACGGTATATCTGCTTTTGTATTGTACTTCTATGCTCCCCACGTCTAATGCTCCTCACCTACACAAGACCCGCAACAGGTGTGTAGAGAGGCCCCCTTCATCCAGCAGTGGATTGACCAAAACGGCTTTACAGAATTGCATTTGGACACGTGCATGCGACGTATACACCGCGCTTCGAGCAGTACCCCGATTTACGTCGGGGATGCGTTCCTGAAATGTGCGACGACGACTATGGAAACGACGTCAATCCTAAGCGAGTTACAGGGTAAGTGTGGTGGTGGTGGTGGTGGTGAAGGCGACGGATAACGAGACAGGACCGGACGATGCCGTCAGCGACGCAAGTGTGCGGTTGAGGTGACTCAGGTCGTGGTAGTCGTAATAAAGTGACGACGCATTTGCGAAACTCCGTACACGGGGCGGGAGACGTACGTAGGGGTATTTCTGTATTACATTTCGGGCACGATGTGAACATAACCACGAACAGAGGCAATTAATAAGCGCTGTGTATATGTTGGTTAATGTCCACAAGATAAGTATGGGGAGTTAATTAGCGTTGGAAATATTTTGTAATATCCACAAGAGCGGTGCAGTATTACGCCCAATGGGTGAGAGGGGGATTGTGAAGACAACAAAACCGGAGACTCGGGGGTGGGAAGGGGGGGTCGTGGCATCTCCGATTAGCACGATTCACTACGTACGGCGCGAAAGAAGTTCAACATATACTGTACATACATAGGTGGCATCTCTCGCAAGTGATAACCCACTCACGGGAGATGAGAGTGAGTGCCTTATGTGAGTCTACGCGTGGCCAAATCAACGCGACTGGCGGTTGCTGTACACGGGGGCTGCTGTCACGGAGAAAATGCATTATCACCTCTTTCTGCTTTCAATTATTTTTAGCTCTCGCCTTCCCCTCACCCCCACCCCTACCCCTCACCCCCATCGCACGCCCTATAAAACGATAAAGTCAAAATCTGCGGTTTCCCCCCCCCCACCACATCTCTCGCTCTCTGGCTTCATCCACACAGCACTGGGGCGCCTTCAAAGATCCCAGCACACGCGAATTACACGGCACCACGCGCGGCCGCCTTTGTCTTTTCGGTGCCGATGTGGTTTATTCACCCACGGAGAGGACGACTTCAGGGCAGGCAGGCAGGCCAGGCAGAGAACCGGTTCAGACAATAATCCTCGGCAGCCGACAGCCGGCAATCAATCTCAGCAGGTGGCCGCGTGTGTAGAGCAAGTGCGCGCTAACCGCTGCGCCACCGCTCCCTCCCACCACCATACACGCACGAAGCCCAACCCCAGCCGCCGAGCAAAGCGAAGAGCGACTGGAGGAGGAGGAGGAGGGAGACGCGCAGAGCACAACCGTGTGTGCGTGCAGGCACGCAGCAGCAACAGCAGCAGCAGCGTCGCCACATCACTCATCACCGTCGTCGTCGTCGTCATCATCATCATCGTCAGCAGCAGTTGAGAGGCAGCCGCGCTTGGCGCAAGTGAGATGGCGTGCTGATCGCGTCAAACAGGTACGTTATCCCTCTCCGTTGTCTCTCTCACTCGCTGCCTGCGTTCGTCCATTGGCCACCAGGTACTGGCAGCAAGCGAGTGGCAGCAGCATTATCAGCAGTAGTAGTTTTAGTAGCAACACGGCAGAGCTTCATCAGTGAGCGCACATCACGCAAAGCGCTACAACTCCACGGTGCAACGGGGATCACGGCGGAGACGCTCGTGGTAGTTGTAGTCGCAGTGGTTGATGGTGGTGGTGGTGGTGATGAGTGGGCGCAAAGACAACCCGACATCAAAGGGGGGAGAGAATTTATTTGCAGCGCGCCGTGGAGAAATACGCATCGGAGAAGCACATTCACCACGCTCAGTGTCTCCACGTGTACGCGCGTAACGTACACATAGCCCATCAGCCCCACCACTGGCTTGCCAGTCGAACTACTATCCAGCAGCATTGTGTCAAGTGCAAGCGTAAAACTCGGGAGCAGTTTCGACAGCCTGCGTCTCATCAACGGCGAAGCGATCGCCGATGGCTTGCCACGGATGTCGATTGACGAGCCAGAGAGAGCGAGAGAGGCGCTTGCGGAGCTTCGGGCGCTCCATTCACGCGTCCGAGTCGATGGCCCCATCGCCTCGTGTGTACACACACACACACGTGTTGTATCGTGTGTGTACACACACACGTGTTGTATCGTGTGTGTACACACACACACGTGTTGTATCGTGTGTGTACACACACACACGTGTTGTATCGTGTGTGTACACACACACACGTGTTGTATCGTGTGTGTACACACACACACGTGTTGTAATCGTGTGTGTACACACACACACGTGTTGTATCGTGTGTGTACACACACACACGATACAACACGTGTGTATACACACACACGTGTTGTATCGTGTGTGTACACACACACACGTGTTGTATCGTGTGTGTACACACACACACACACACGTGTTGTATCGTGTGTGTACACACACACACACACACGTGTTGTATCGTGTGTGTACACACACACACACACGTGTTGTATCGTGTGTGTACACACACACACACACACGTGTTGTATCGTGTGTGTACACACACACACACACGTGTTGTATCGTGTGTGTACACACACACACACACGTGTTGTATCGTGTGTGTACACACACACACGTGTTGTATCGTGTGTGTACACACACACACACACGTGTTGTATCGTGTGTGTACACACACACACGTGTTGTATCGTGTGTGTACACACACACACACGTGTTGTATCGTGTGTGTACACACACACACACGTGTTGTATCGTGTGTGTACACACACACACACGTGTTGTATCACGTGTGTATGTGTCTATCTACGCGCCCTGGTCGCAGGCGACGTGGTGGGTGGTGGGTGGCGCAGTCGTTAGCGCGCCGCACTACCGACCCAAGGTAACCCGAGTTCGCTTGCCACTCACGGCCAACAGCGGTGATGAATATCTGAACGGGTCCAGGGCATTTTCTCCCCCTCCCCTAGGTCGACTCGACCTTAAATGAATAGCTAGTGCGGTGTGTAAACATCACCGCCGGGGATACAAAGGCAGCCGGGCGTGGTGCTGGTCACATTCACGCCCGCGTTGTGCCGCTTAACAGCGCTTTCTCCCAGCAGTCTGCGGCAGGTCTGCATACGAGGAATGTCGTGCCTCGCTGTGACAGGCGATGTAAGATGGTTGTCGTACACGAATGAGTGACAGGTGCAGTGCATTGCAATGCAATGTGGACTTGTTTAGCATGTGACGTGTCAAGAAGCTGTGCAGAAACAGTGGATCTCTGTGCGAGTCTCGGGGAGGGGGGGGTGGTCTTTTGTGGAATCTTCAGGTCTGCGTGAGTCTGGGTCCCTATGTGAGTCTATGGGTCTCCCTGCGAGTGAATAGAGTGTCGATTTAGATAGCGTCAATGTACGGATCGCGTCTTAAGATGCTGTAAAGAAGCGGTCGGCGTAGAGTATCGATTTTGTATGGAGAGAGGCAGTCATAGGCAGACGTGGAAGCTCTTAATTTCATCTGGGACTCGAGCCAGAGGAGTCGATGGCACGGATGGCTGGGAGAAGGCAGTTCCCAGACTACGCAGGCAGCAGAGGATAACGAGCAAACACGATTTGAACCACCGATTACAACGTGCTGACTGCATAGACGACGAGCCTGATGTAATAATTTAGTGCAAAAATACTCGCGCAGCTGCGAGTGAGAGACCCACGGTGACGGGTTGGTGGCATTTGTGGGTGGCTGGGCTTGGCTGGTAAATGTCGCTGTCGTTGCCGGGTCGAATCGAAAGCGCACGGGCTCAAATTCGCGCACGATGTCGAAACGGGAAAAAAACGAAACCACGGCAGATAGTTGCTCAATGGTCGATGAGAAGACGACTATCGGCGGGTGCTATCTGAAACCGGCCATTGGCTCCCCCGTCGCCTTCACCAACTCGTACTCGCCAGCGTGTCGAAGTGCGGTCAGATAGGTCCCACAAGTCGCATACGGTGTACGGGAGGGTTTCGTCCTACGGTGCCATCACAAAAGGGCGGTATGTGTATAGATTGGTGTCCGCTCGCTTGGTGCGATATGTTAACTCCGTCGCCTGGTATGCAGGCGGCCATGGGTTCGATTCCCATTTTGACACCTGTATGGTTGGAGGTGGCACGTCTCCTCTCTCCCCATGCTCGCGTGGATTTTTCTTCGGGTCCTCGGGTTTTTCCCTCCATTTACAAACATGCGTTTAGATGATTTGGTTGCTATACACTTCCACATGATAAGCCAATTCGTTGAGCCATTATTTGTGACCAGGTCCCTTCTGAAAAAGAGCTCTATATAGCTCAGTAGGCCTTACCTGGTAAAATAAAAAAAATAGTCTGATAGATTAATATCGATCATAAATATTGTAAAATCATCCAGAATGTCTGATGGTGTTACATGTAAGCTAAGCTGGTTTGAGCCTGTGTAGTGACTTAACGGGTAACCATGAGGGCTTGCCAAGTGTTGTAGCCATGGGGGCTGTGACGCAGCCAGGAGGTGGCAGTGCTGCCACCCCGTGAAAAGCCAAACGCGCACGGGTGAAATTGACCAAGCATCCCAATGTCGCACGACCCCCCCGAGAAGCAGTCATGATACTCGGCTGCCTATGAACGAATCATTCACAATGCACCTGATTTCATCAGACCGCAGGAGCTAAGCAGTGCTGAGCTTGGATATTGCTTGGATCTGTGACCACAATGCCTAGCGGGTGTTCTCGGCTGCGTAATTAACGGGGTTGGCAGCAGTGGGCAGTACAGCCACATGCGCGGTTGTACAATACTTCTATGCTATCCCGCTTTCAGCAAACCCGCACTGACCAGCGTGGTGAAGTATGGTCAAATAACCACCCTCCCTCCAACTTCCTGCATGATGGAGGTCCTCATTCAGTGTGGGATTGATTATTATAAAAAAACAAGTTAACTTATTCTTGGTTCTTTCGGAAAAGTCACGTAGAAGGGAAATAAAAAAATAAAAAAATATATAAATGTATTAAATACAATTCTCACGATGTTTCGGCCACAACACAAGCAGCCGTCCTCGTGAAGAACAGCTGTCGGAAAGATAGCGTCCCAATGAACACCGCTAAGTTTGGCTAGTGAGAATTTAATTTTATAAATTATTATTATTTTATTATTTTCCTTCTACGTGACTTTACCGAAAGAACCAATAATATGAATCCCTGCAGTCACGAAAGTTTTAAATCGAAACAAGTTAACTCTCTGTGGCGTTAACACGCGAGACAGACTATTTTGCCGTCATTCTTGCGATGATGATTTGCCCTGTGATTCGGGTGCCAGAGCTCTTCCAGAGCACCAGCATCTCTACCCTTAAGGCAAAAACGCCTGGCGATTGCACTTGGAAGTCCACGCGATGAAACCTCACGGCATCAACGCTTTCAGGATTTCGTTTTTGGTGCGTCGCACGACAAGAGCTCAAATGATCCGTGCACGTGTGTGCATGCTTGCCCGAGTGGGGAGCGGTAGTGTAGTGGTTAGTGCGCTGCGCTACGAACCTAGCGACCCGGGTTCGATTCCCGCTCACGGCCAACACCGGTGACGATTGTCTGAACCGGTCCTAGGCCTCCCCGAGGTCGACTCAGCCTCAAATGAGTACTTGGTGCGATGTGTAAACATCGCCACCCACCCCCTCGCGTGCCGTGCCCCTTTATAGGTGCTCGCAAACAGCACTTGCCCCTACAGTCTGTTAAGGCTATACGGGGGATCTTTGTCTTTGTGCTCGCCTGTTCATTTGTGGGAAGCGGCGGCGCAGTGGTGAAGCGCACTGTCCTACGAGCCTGGCGGCTCCATTTCCTGCTTCGCTTGTGTCCCAATAAGAGTGGCGAATGTTTGAAACGGGCCTGGGTCTTCCCTAGGGCAACTCAGCCTAAAATGAGTCTGTGGAGCAGTGTGTCAGCATCAACACTGGGGAGACAACGGGCTGCCGGACGTGGAGCTGTCCACCAATCCGTTGGTGTGCTGTCTCGGCCTTCATAGGTGCTATTCACTCGCTAACAGCATCTGTCCCAACGGATGTATGTTGAACTTCTTTCGCACCAAACGTAGCCAGCCGTGTATCTGTTACCCGATTCATGTGCGCACCGAATCTTTTTTTTTTTACCAAGTGGGTTTTTCAAGACAATTGTCAAAGAATTTGCGCGCAAGCCAAGGTCTGTGAAAGGTCCCTTCAGGTCATCGCTGAACGTTGTGCTATATATGGGATCATTATCGCTCGCACCCAGGGATTAATGCCTCACTCCATATTTTCCAGAACGCTGCCTACCTCGGCTGCCTCGGAGTAGGATTATCGGCATCGCTAACTATAACTGTTGTATTTGATCAGATAAGGCCCCACTGAGCTGTATAGCTCATTTTCAGAAGCGACCTGGCCACAAATGATAGATTCAACAAAGTGGCTTATCTTGTGGAAACGTATAGCAGCCAAATACTCTAAACACACGTTTCTAAATGTGAAGGGAAAAATTTAAAGACCTGGAGAAAAATCCACAAAACCACGGGGAGACCATGCAAACTGCAAATATACGGGTGTCAGGGTTAAGATCGAACACACGATTACCTGTATACCGGGCGAGGTAGTTAACATCTCGCCGCCACGGCGCCCGTAAGGCACTACCACGAGAGTACTAAGATATGCCTATCCATACTAATGCTATATTATTCCACCCTATATTCCTATAATCACATGTACTCGTTTTATAGTAACAAAAAAACGAGAGCAAAAATCGGACCAGATGGATGCGGCATACCATAATATTCCCCAGAACAGTGTTCCAAACTTTTTTCACGAGCGATCTGTGACCTCCTCAAATTACCGTTTTCTCCGGACTATAAGCCGCACCGGAAAGTAACATGCACCTCAAACGTATGCCCCGATGTTAATAAAGTTATAAACATCTTTTGGCACACAACCGTCCCTTTTACCTAAGCTCGTATAACCTTGCTCATTCAACAAACGTGTTTACTCTTATCCATTACAACTTCGATGGTGCTGTTTGTTGCTGATCTTTGGACCTGTGCTCAGAAACCGTGTGATTAAAAAAAAAGGACACGGACCTACTGGATTATAACACGCAGCGCCAGTAATTGCTTCGAAAGGGGGGGGGGTTGCGTTTAATAGTGGGTAAATACGGCCACACTTTTTTATTCTTCTTCTTCTCGCAATCATCTTTAAAGAAGTTTTATCTTTTTCCGATACAGGTGACGACCGGGACGTCCCTCTCAGGAGCGACGAGTTTTCTCACATTGCTTCCGATAAAGAACAGAAACTAAGAATGGCCAGAGCGACCCTCGGCGTCAGGACTTCCTTGTGCCTCCGCGTGGGAGCGATCGTCTTGCTAGCGCAGTTGATCACCGCGGCGGACTCTTCCGATGACCCTTACCTCAAAAGCAGAGCCAACATCACCAAGGATTGCTACGGTTCCTACGAATGCGCGAGCGGCATCATCCTCCCAATATGGGTGCCGAACAATCCGTCGGTGGGCGACAAGGTGGCCCGAGCGATCGTGTACTTTGTCGCTCTCATCTACATGTTCCTGGGAGTGTCGATCATCGCCGACCGCTTCATGGCCTCCATCGAGGTGATCACGTCGCAGGAGAAGGAGATCACCATCAAGCGGCCCGACGGTGAGACGACCACCACCACGGTGCGCGTGTGGAACGAGACCGTCTCCAACCTCACGCTGATGGCCCTGGGCTCCTCGGCCCCTGAGATCTTGCTCTCCATCATCGAGATCTGCGGCCACGGCTTCGAAGCCGGCGAGCTGGGCCCCAGCACCATCGTCGGGAGCGCCGCCTTCAACATGTTCGTCATCATCGCCATCTGCGTGTACTCCATCCCCGACGGCGAGACGCGCAAGATCAAGCACCTGCGCGTGTTCTTCGTGACGGCCGCGTGGAGCATCTTCGCGTACATCTGGCTCTACTTGATCCTGGCCGTGATCTCTCCGAATGTCGTCGACATCTGGGAGGCCCTGCTCACGTTCATGTTCTTCCCCATCTGCGTGGTGTTCGCCTGGGTCGCCGACCGCCGCCTCCTCTTCTACAAGTACATGTACAAGAAGTACCGCGCCGACAAGCACAGGGGCATCATCATCGAGACGGAGGGCGACCGGCCCCGCATGAACATCGAGATGGACGGCAGGATGCTCAACTACGAGACCGACGTCGTGCCCGACGGGATGCTCGTCGACGGGGACGAGAAAGACATCGACGAGAGCCGGCGCGACATGATCAAGCTGCTCAAAGAGCTGAAGCAGAAGTACCCAGAGAAGGACCTGGACCAGCTGGTGGAGCTCGCCAACTACCAGGCGCTCACCCAGCAGCAGAAGAGCCGCGCGTTCTACCGCATTCAGGCGATCCGCATGATGACGGGTGCCGGCAACATTCTGAAGAAGCACGCGGCTGACCAGGCGCGCAAGGCCATGAGCGTCCAGAACATCGAGAGCGACGGCGAGAGCGACTTCGTGAGCAAGATCTGCTTCGAACCGGGCGCGTACCAGTGCTTCGAGAACTGCGGCTCGTGCATCCTGACGGTGTCGCGCAAGGGCGGCGACACGAGCGGCTTCGTGAGCGTGCGCTACAAGACGGAGAACGGGACCGCCACGGCCGGCTCGGACTTCGAGTTCAGCGAGGGGAAGATCGTCTTCAAGCCGGGCGAGACCCAGAAGGAGATCTCGATCAGCATCATCGACGACGACATCTTCGAGGAGGACGAACACTTCTACGTGCGCCTCTCTGACGTCGAGGCGGAGGTGACGGAGGACGGGCCGGAGATCAACCACGTGAGCCTGCCGAAGGCCCTGCTGGTGGAGCCCACGGTGGCCACGGTCACCATCTTTGACGACGACCACGCGGGCATCTTCATGTTCGAGGAGAAGGTGATGCGCGTGAGCGAGAGCGTCGGCGTCATGGAGGCGAAGGTGATGAGGACGTCGGGCGCCCGCGGCACCGTCGTCGTGCCGTACCGCACCATGGAGGGGACGGCGCATGGCAGCGGCGACGATTACGAGGATTCCTTCGGCGAGCTCGAGTTTCACAACGACGAGATCGTGTGAGTACGCGGCGCGCCGCGATTGCACCTCTCTGCACATTGTGTTGTCCATCTGTCGCTGTAACGAATTTAAATGACACAGGTACGGTGGACACACGGTACGAGGAAGGCAAGCTCTGTTTCGCACGCTCACGATGAATGCTGATCTGTTGGCAACCTCGTTGTTCGATGAAACAAAAGAAACAATAAAGCTATAGTTGTTTAGGTTTGGTTAACCGTAATAGACTTGTAAATACACAGCAGACCGTATCGTCATGGTCTTGTTCGTCTTGCTGCTGCTGCTGTAGCAGCTGTCGCAGAGATAATACTGTCACAGCCGGCTGTTTATTGCACTTAGAGGGCGCAGCCAGGTTTGTAACGCAACGCTGGAATTGTGTCACGCATGAGCGTTTTCCATGTCCAGGAACAAATGTTTTCATTGGGCCTGCAGAAAGAAAAAAAAGATGTAAAGGGTGCTGCTGCATTATTGTCATGTGTTTTCCATTCATTTATTTGTTGACTTTTTTTTTCTTAGCTCTAATAATCAAAAGTGCAACAGTGGGATTTTGTCCTCACTGCGACGCATACACAATGATCCTGACCGGGGCTTTACAGGGCTTTCACACACGCCTGACACTTTCCACCGAATGGACAATTTACCCGACGCCGTTCCTATTCAGTCGGCAGCGCGGCTACTTTGTTCTGGTCCGTCCGTGGGATCATCGCGGGCAATGAGCCTGGTAATACCGCCCTGGGCGCGGCGTATCTGTCCACCAATCGTGCCTGCGCGTGTGTTTTATTCACGAGCGCAACTCACTCTGCCCATTGTGTCGAACGCAATTAAAACGAACCCGCGCAAGGCGCCGGACAAACGACCGCCCGTTCGCCTCGTGTCCGCCTGAAGACGCCGAACCGCGACGATTAACAACGGGTGCTCAAGCCCTCGCGCCTACACGGCCGTGCGTACAGTGCGCGGTGCTCGTGTGCCTGGCATATGAATGCAAGCGGTGCCAGTGGTGTTAGTGGTCGCGCGTGGGATGCTGATGACGCTCGCGTGGCCGAGCTTTGGATGGCCGGGGGTGCCCTGCCATATCGTTGCGCGCGAGACGCGTTTGGCGGGGACGGACTCCGTCGTTCTATCTCTCTGCGGCGCAAATATGAACGTCAAATGAAACTGTGCAAACGCAGTGATCTCTCGCCTAAGCCGAACCGTGCCGGCGCTGTTGTTGATAAGTTACAAATACCGCTTGCAGCCGGCACCGCGATAAAAGCCTTTGGGTCTGCCCCACATGTCAACGACACGCGAGTGAGGGCGGCTCGTTGTAATTTGGTAATAATGCACGTGTCTGGATTTTGACTTGACAATAAAAATCTAAATTTAATCGAGACAGGATGATACCACACGGGCAAAATTCAGCATCCAAAAAAGGGGGGAAAAATTGGCAAGTGCACAGAACCTTGAGGCATACAGCCACGGTATTTCAAACAAAAATTGATATTGAAGATGGCAAGCAATGGAATATGTTGTGCACAAGCCACTGCACCGTGGGTGTGAATAGACAGATTGAAGGGGCAGCTGTCATAGAGCTTACTTTGTTCTCTCTATATGCTTTAACCCCCTCCCCCCCACACTGACCCCTAGCAACCTATGATCAATCGTACGTGCAAGTGTTTGCCGACCTGCCTAAGGCCAAATGACCCGGCTTTGCGGCTGATTTAATCCGACCTCGGAAGCTAAGCGGGTTTGAGCCTGTATAGCTTTTGGATGGGTGACCATTCCACCGTGCACATGAGGTTGTTGTGGGTGGCTACGTGGTGGTCAGCAGAGGGTAGCGCAAAAGCATATTTTGCTGTACTGTACGTCTATGCTCCGGGAGTCCATGCTGGCCGCCTTTTGCCAACTCGCGCTGATCAGCGTGGGTGGAGTTTGGTCGATTAACCTCCACGATCTGCATGCTTTAAGGGAGACCCTCCTCATCCAGCAGTGGATTGAAAATAAAATGGGGGGGGGGGGGGGGGGGCGCTGTACACACACCGCAACATTTACACGTTTTGTAGATCTTAGATGCAGGTTTTGTTTGGGCGCAGGTAAAACCCAGTGGGAAATATAAAAAATAATTTGAAATGGGGACCTGGTTACACCATAGAAGCCCGGTTACAGCCAAAACACGAAAAAAAAACAGCGTTGCCTTGCGAGTGGAATTCTGTGAGCGCACGTCTGCAACGCGCGCGTCCGGTCACGCGAGCGTGTCGTTGTAAGATGTCTCGGTGGGGGGGGGGGGGGGGGCGAGGATACGCATTTTGGTTTTGCTATCGCACCAGCGATATTGGTGACGTGCGTTCGGGTTTTCCGCGTACGAGCCCAGAGACAAATATCCCGCGGAGATTTTCTCTTCCTCCCCTGGGTCTGCCCACCCTTGCCTTTTACGGAAAGTCTAAACAAACATTTGCTCCTCCCCACCAGCTCCTCATTACAGGATTTAAGTGATTTTTAAAAATTAATTTATTCCAAAAGCACCATCTTGAGGGCATTCTCTGCCAAGGGTTTCATTAGCCTTATTTCTAAAAGGCGCATTACATGCTGTATGTGGGAATCCTAATGTTTTAATTTTTTACGATATTTTGCCTTTTGCATTTTTAATATTGACTTGTGCCTGGTGGTCAGGGTTATTCATGCAATGACTTGCAACATGTTTTTAGTGTGGGTTATTTTTTTTTCCTGTGCTCCGTATAAACAAAAAAGATGTCAGTCGGTGCAAAATAATTAGCAGGCCAGGCAAAGAAAAATGATGTCTTAGAAGAGGTTACTGATTCCTTGCCCCCCGTGCCCTCCTCCCCCCTCCATCCCACCTCCCACCGTGTTGCACGATGAATTTAATTAGATATTCTCTCCTGCCAGACGACCCTCACAGCAAAGCTCCGAGAGTCCAAGGAAGAAAAAAAATGTTTAGTGTTCCATCAATATTACATTTCCTTATCGCTGAAGATTATCTCCGAATGTTTTTTTTTTATGTTGAACACTATTATGCCCATTATAAGCCATCCGGCGTGCAGTTTCACCCCTCGTTTCTCCAGGGGGAGGGGAGGGGGATGACACTGGAACGGCAAAATTAATTTTCAAGAGACCTTCAAACTCTATAAGACCTCCTTTACCAGTGGCAAAATATAGTAGTAGGTTTTTACCATTTAAACTGGTACAAAACTGACACCTTTATACAAGGCATCATGTTTGCAATAACCACAACACAAGCAGTCAAAATGCAAAAAAAAAAAAACAACTGTGATAATGATATGCACTGTCCTTGAAGTTGATTGGTCCACACCCGAGACAGCTTTTCTTAGAGCCTAGTCTCCATTGGTGTTGGACCAGAAGACGCCAATAGGCGTACAACTCAAAAACAGCGCGCTATCAGAGTATTGAGAGCTCGGGGTAAGTATTTACAATATGAGGCCTTGTATAAAGGTGTCAGTTTTTTAAGACCCTCAAACTGTCGCAAACTGCTCCACATCAGTCTCGAGAATTAATTGCCGCGACGTTTCTCCTGCAGTCGTCCAGACCGTGAGGCTTTTACCATCGCCCGTTTTGGGCGTCGTGAAAGGTGTGTGGCCTTTGGGCAGCACGTTATTTTCGTGGTAATATAGTCTGATTCAACAATTAACTTATATGAGGTTATATTGTGAAGATATAACGCCATTTTCTTTTTTTACCATAACCCTCCACCATCCGGCAATGCCAGTCAAATCAAGTTGTGATGTGGCCAAATATGCTCATCATTGACTTGCTTTTTTTGCGAATCGGTATGTTGAATACAAACAAGATTGTGACAATTTCCCGCGAGGACTGAACTTTTCTTAAACGCCTGAGGAAGAAGCTGGATGTAATCGCCAGCAACGCTCTGTACAATTAAATTAGGCTTGGTTTTTAAAATTCTGCTGCTATGCAGCTACGACAAAGACCTGGCATTTATAATTTTTTTCGATACATTTTTAGAAAATATGTTGCCTGTGACAAACTGAAGTTTGTATTTTTATTTTAAAAAATATGCTACGCGAAGTGAGGCAATTATCAAATCACTTTCTACAGTGGCTGTTGTTAAGCGGCTCCATTTAGACCTACCGACTGCCTATTTGAGAACATTCAGCAAATATAGTATGAAACTCATTTAGAGTATAAAGCATTCATCTCCATGTAATCGTTATTTTTGAGCCACAAACCCCTTAATATATTTCCGTACAGCAGTCCCTCGGGTGAAGTTTTTTTATCCGTTTCACGAAAACTACTGTCAGCTGAAATAACTGTCAATCGAATATAGGAATTACATGTTAAAACAAAACATAATTTAAACAGAAAACACAATGTAAACAAAGCCAGTCGAGATATAAACACTCATAAATGGGCGTTGCTGATTGGATGAGGGCATGGCTCGGCCCCAATTACAAGCGCTTGAATTGGCCGAAATTGGCGCCCGTGTGCATAACGTCAACGTGACGTTGATCAACATTTTAACGTGAGTCGAACCCATGGGGGTCCTACGGGAGGTGAAACATTAACCAAATAAACCGCTAACCGATGTCACCGTTTACCAAGGGACTACTGTAATTAATAAAGTGTTATGGTAAACCTTTAGAATTGTGGAATCGAACCATGGTAATTAATTGCCATTTAACTCGCACAACCTCTCTTGGAACTATACCTTTGAAATGGAGATGAATGCGTCCCAGTCAGGGTTGTACATTTATCATGAGAACCGATTGCTCGGGTCGGATGCTGGGAAATTAGCTTTGAAAGGCCTAAGTGGCAATAACTAATTCATACCGTGACAAAAAATACCAACATAACACCACCTAAATTTCGATTTAAAGCTTTCGTGACTGCAGGGGTTATTATTTCCCTTCTACGTGACTTTACCGAAAGAACCAACAAGATAACACCACCTTTTAAGCTTAATTTTTTGTTTTAATGATCCAATTAGAGTGGATATCCAAACAAAGCACGTGATTGCTGAAATTATGGATGTGAC